ATATGTGAGTACTCATCACGTTCACCGCTATTAACTATATATTACACAAAAAATGAGCTTAATAACATATTCAATTAAGTTCCAATTATATAAGTAAACGTAAACGTTTCTTGATTGTTCTCCAAGTGTACTTACTTCATCATTCATATGTATTTTGAATTTCAGTTCACCGTTCATGTTACCAAGGCGCTCACACACCCTAGTAGTTGTTCATCCAAACCTAGGTTTAAACCCCGAGATGATACTGTCGCTCGGTCATATCCAGCACTATCAAATTACTCAGCATCTGTTACAACTTCCGTTAGAAATGCAACGTAAGTGATTGTCTTGAAGTAAAGCCTGTTCGCCTTTATATGATAATGGATTGCTTGTTTGATTGGTTATACGGCGCACTAACACCATATAGGTCATATGGTGCCGACACATAAAAGATGACTGGCTAACCTCGGGTGTTAAAAGCTTCAAACAACACCAGGGGTCAAAACCACTTCACCCGTTGGAGCTAAGAGATGCATAGACTCCAGTTATTCGAACCCATTTAGTCGCCTCTTACGATCACGCAGGCGATTAAACACAAAACGATCCAATGTACCACTGGTCATAACAGGACAATGAGTATTGTATGGAACGCCTGGACTGTCTTATGTTAAGATTGAATGATATACCTGGTTAAATGTCTTTCTGTTGAGTCCGAGATGCAAAATGCTGGGTGGAAATCCTAATGTGCTCAGTTATTGAAGTGCTATGTTGTGTGCTGACTGTATTTTATTCAGTCCAGTCAATGTATTGTCGGGTGCATAAGTCGTTATGTTCAGTTCTTAAAACAAACAGGCATGTGGAAACACAATTATGGTGAGTTAAAAAGATATGTTGTAGGGTGTTACAGTTATTATGTTCGGTTATAATAATATGCTGTTTGGTGCTCTTCTCATCATGTTCAACCATGAAAATAAACAGTTGAGTGGTACTATCATTTTGTTTGGTTGAGGCAGTGTTATTATGGGTGATCCTTTTATTATTTTCAGTTGCAATGACATGCTGTTGGGTGCTTTATTCCTTCTGTTCAGTCGTGAAATAGAACTGTTAAATGGTACAATCATTATCTTAAATGGTACTATCATTATCTTGTGTGCTGATTATATCTTCTTCAGTCAAGTCAATGTGTTGTTCGGTGCAAAGGTCGTTATGTTCAGTGGTTTTTTGGTACTATCATTATGTTCAGTTCGGATGATATACTGTTCGGTGCAGAGGTCATTATGTTCAATAGTGAACACAAACTGTTGTGTGATACAACCATTATGTTGGGTTCATTCGGATATTTTCGGGCAACAAGATGGGAGAGGTCACGTCGAGGCTAATGACCACTAAATTGCCAAAACAATTTTCTTCCCTATAAATATTATCGGCTTAAGAACGTTATTTTCATAAATTGGACTTTTAAATACCCTATGGGTATTTATTAGTTAATTCATGACTATACTATACTGTTACAGTCATAATGGGTACAGTATATATAAAACTTAAAATATGGGTAAGGGTAGCCTGTTAAAGTCACACGTGACCACCCGTAAATAAAACTTAAAATTTATCTGTTTGGTAACCTATAAGAGTCACAAGTGGACACAGCAAACGAAATTTAAAATATAAAACATCATATTCAAGTAAGGGAACCCTATTTGAGTCACACATGGCCACAGTATATGGAGCATATAAGTAAGGGTAGCCTATTTAAGTCACATATGGCCACAGCATATACGACTTAAAATGTATTTGTCGGTAACTCATTTGAGTCACACATAACCACAATAAATTGAACATAATATTTAAGTAAGGGAAACCTATTTGAGTCACACATGGCCACAGTATATGGAACATTAGATATAAGTAAAGGTAGCGCAATAAAGTCACACATACCCACATTATTGAAGAACATTCTATATAAGTAAGGGAAACCTAATTGAGTCACACTAGGCCAAAATATATGGAACATTATGTTTAGTAAGGGAAACCTTTTTGAGTCACGCATAAACTAAAGTATATGGAACATTATATGTAAGTAAGGGTTAAGCCTAATAAAATTAGACTCAAATACATTTCCCTGACTTAAACATTATGTCTAATATATTGTGGCCATATGTGACTCAATTAGGTTTCACTTACTTATAAAGAATTTTCTTTATACTTTGGCCATGTTTGACTTTTATTAGGCCACACTTACTTAATATATAATGTTCCATTTACTGTGGTCATGTGTGTCTCAAAGGGGGTTCCATACTTAATATTTAAACGTTCTTTATACTGTGGCCATGTGTGGACTCAAAAATAGGTAATTGTTTTTGCAATTTAGTGGTCATTAGCCTCGACGTGACCTATGGAAATTAAGTTGCTCCCGCCCGCCATCTTGTTTGACGCGAAGAAATCCGAATGAACCCAACATAATTGTATGACCCACTCAGCGCATTGTCAAATGACTTGTGCAACCGAACAGTATATCATCTTGAACTGAACATAATGACGGTATCACACCACATTTGTGTTCACTACTGAACATAATGACTTCAGCACCGAACAGAATATCATCTGAAACTGAACATAATGACGGTATCACACAATATTTTGTGTTCACTACTGAACATAATGACTTCTGCACCGAACAGTATATTATCTGAACTGAACATAATGACTTCTGCACCGAACAGTATATCATCTGAACTGAACATAATAACGGTCAAATCACACAACATTTTGTGTTCACTACTGAACATAATGACTTCTGCACCGAACAGTATATTATCTGAACTGAACATAATGACTTCTGCACCGAACAGTATATCATCTGAACTGAACATAATGACCTCTGCAACCGAACAGTACATCATCTGAACTGAACATAATGACCTCTGCAACGAACAGTATATCATCTGAACTGAACATAATAACGGTATCACACAACATTTTGTGTTCACTACTTAACAGAATGACCTCTGCACCGAACAGTACATCATCTGAACTGAACATAATGATAGTACTATTCAACAGTTCTATTTCACGACTGAACAGTCTGAATAAAGCACCCAACAGCATGTCATTTCAACTGAAAATGATAAAAGGATCACCCAATAATACACTGCCTCAGCCAAACGAAATGATAGTATCACTTAAACAGTTTATTTTCATGGGTTGAACATGATGAGAAGAGCTATTTCAACCGAACATAACAACTGTCATACCCTACAACATATCTTTTTAACTCAACATAATTGTGTTACCACATGCCTGTTTGTTTTAAGAACTGAACATAACGACTTATGCACCCGACAATACATTGACTTGACTGAATAAAATACAGTCAGCACACAACATTACACTTCAATAACTGAGCTCATTTGGATTTCCACCCAGTATATTGGGATTTTTGACTCAGCATATTGTATCTCGGACTCAAAACAGAATCACATTTAACCATGTATATCAGTCATTCTACACATAAGACAGTCCAGGCGTTCCATAGTATTGTATTGCAGGACTTTGCATGGTTTATCATTTTATAAACGAGTTTTGGCGATTCTGACGAGCTTCCAGAACACATTTCCTGATACAACCTTAAACGCTAAAATTGCCGTTTTACGGAAGTTCTTGCCGTTTTTTACATGTATAAAGAAATAAGATGGATATGTGTTACTAATAAGACTTGTTGTATTCCCGCAATAGATTGCAAACAGGCGGCGTCATTTTATAAACATATATCTTAAATTTGTGTCCTTTATAAACAATACTGAGAAAAATTTAAACGAATTTTACAGAATTCTCACAGTTGGACACCAAGGCACAATCTTTCAGCATAATACCAACAATTCTGGAACAACAGAGACCGCAGGGTGGACCCTGTCCGCTAATGACACTGGTGTTTATAGAACCTGCTTTATGTTGTACGACAGTGATGGGTAAACGGTTTCTTTTTTCAACAGAATTAAATAAGTAAAATACAAAGCACTGTCAACACAACTAACAATTAATATTCAATCGCAGTAAAATATTGGGATTCAAACATTATAGTGGAATACATATAAACCTTACCAAACTTTTGGTGATTTTAAAACGTTTTTGAGCTTATTAAGTATTTGTATACTATTAATTTAAACTTACATTAGTTAACCAATCTGACTAAAGTTCTGATTCTTGTGTTAACCAGATTGATTAACTAAACCATCTACATTCATCAAATATGTCTACAATTGTCGTTCATATCATAGTGTGAACAAATAAATGTCTCTCTTTAATTGAAATCGTTCGTCCTACATGTTTTTTTTTAATTTATTATTTTTATTTTTGTTTAAGGGTCCCTGGTGAAACTATATGTGACACACTGCTGGCAGGAGGTCAGTAGAATAGTTTTGTCAAAAACTTTAGTTTGATAATCATTCAATATTCATAGACGGAAATGTCCATATTTCAATTTAAAGGGATACTCAGGCAAATTAATGACAAAAATATCTTATGTAATCAAATCACGCTAAAATGACATTTGTAAAAGTCCCTCAACGAATTTCTGTATAATTGCTATATAATTTGGTTTTGAAGCGTAAATATATCTATATATGTTGTACGAAATTTAACCGCCGACAAAATCACCGAGTAGTTTTAAAACTAGTCATGTGACTTGAAAAAACCCCGGAAGTTACAATAACAGATATTGTGGATATTGTATGATTGACACAAAGCTAAATCATTCCTTTGACGAGTTCTTTAATGTTTCCAGAGTTCACTGAGACAACTAATTAATGTGATATCTTGTGACCCATGTGGGTCAAGTTAAGAAACCACCATTTTATTCTTTATAAGTCCTGTGACTGCCTATTGTATTCATTTTGAGGACATTTACAGATTAATGAATGAAATATTCAAAACGAAGAAATGAAAATTGTGCATGTGTCTCCTTTTAAGTCAGAAATAGAAAGTGATTATTTATCTTATTCATGCAGTATTTCTGCTGAAGCCGGTGGTAGGGGGCGCAGACGGTAGTTTTTTTTTATCCAGCAACGTCCATGAACAGGCTTAATCAAACAGAACCTGCACAATTTTAGATTATGCCATTTTTGGAGTTCCATAGGTTTTTTCCCTCTATCTTTTCATATACATGAACTTGATAACTTACAAATTAATCGGTTCGTTTGCACATATTGAATCAGAAGCTTCAAAAATTTCGTTGTTCCTTAAAAAACAAAACAAAAAAAACCCCTCTATATTAATTAGCAACATATTTGAGGTAACCAGATTTTGAAAAGGAGTGTGTTTGCATTTTAGATACTGATGAATGTGCACGGAATGACACGTGCATTGATAAACCATGTAGGCACTGCACGAACTACTGGCATTATTACACGTGCTATTATGATAGTTGTGAAGGTAATGTTTTATTTCACTGCAGTCATGTAAATTGATATTTGTACGAACTTAACACACATACTTCTTACTTAGCCCTTTTAAAAATAATTCCAGGGTTTTGCAATGGAAAATTGAAAAGATATGTTTCCTTTGTAAATAAAGCCATTTTATGACCTTCATCTGAAAACATTTTTATATCTTAAGAAAATAAATTTGTTGATGATCAATAACAGTTTACATTCAATTTCTACCATTTCATGTGTATTTATATTTCAGAGAAACAACTAAGTATAGGACTAATAATAGGTGCTGCAATTGGATGCGTAATTCTTCTTGTTGCCATGGCAACAGCAATATGCTTATACCTGAAGTATGTTAAAAGGAAAAGAAATAAAGTGAAAGAATTAACTATCACAGATAAACAAGAACTAAAATGAATAAAACATGTGTGTTTTATTAATGAACTAACTGGTTAATTATCACAGGATGGTGAAAATATTATTCTTGGTCAAAGGAAAAGACATTTAAACATACATGAATTAATTACTTTACATATTATATAAAGTGTCAACTTAAACTGACATTGAACAATTTTGCTATTAAATATGTACATATTCTACATACATTGTTCAAACAACAAAAAAATCCCACACCAAAATACAACATTTATATGTTAAAATGATTAGTATGTGTGTAAAAATAAAAGTTGTTTAAAACCACATGGATTTGTTGATCTTATTTTGTTAACTTGTTAATAAATGGAAAATAATTTATAATATCAATGAATTAATCAGTACACAAGAACTTATCTCCCTTGTACTGATTTAAAACTGGAAAAATGGACAGGTGCCATTTTTAGCGTCTTTGGCAAGACAACCTGGCAGAACACACTCAAAAATAGATTAAACTCTGCACATAACACTAAAATTTACATTTAAAACATTGTACATAATAATATAAAAAGAATTCAAATATGTAAATAATTAAAATATTAGTTATAACAATTAATGCAGTGAGGAAACTTAATCTTAATAAAAAGTATAAACAATTTTAAATAACTATGTGTCATTACTAGCCAAAAAGTAACTAAAACAATGGTAATCTGTATAAACACATTCTAGACAATATCATTCTTGAAATTACCAGTTCTATAGCTATAATTGTCTTAAATCTTAATTTCTACAAACACAAGTGTTCATATAAACTAAAGGAAGACCCAACAATTCATTATTTCCGACATGACTGGACAACCTGTTAATACATATGAACTTTAACTTCTTTAAGACATTCAAACACAATCATTTCCTAAACAATTTGGCCACATTCTATTAAATATCTAAGACATAAATCTTTGAACCTTATTATAAGAACAATATTGACAATGATAAATGAGCCGCGTCATGACAAAATTAACATAATGGGTTTGCAACCAGCATGGATCCAGACCAGCCTGCGCATCCGCGCAGTCTGATAAGGATCCATGCTGTTCGCTTACAAACCCTATTACAAGTAGAGAAAATGATAGTGAACGGCATGGATCCTGATCAGACTGCGCGGATGCGCAGGCTGGTCTGGATCCATGCTGGTCGCAAACCCATTATGTTGGTTTTGTCATGACGAGGCTCAAATAAACAAAGATAACAGATGAAAAAAAATTGCACATTAAACATAAAAGACTCCCCTAAATCCCTATAACATAACATGACATTATATAGTATAATGTTTCCATGGCAACAAGAGTACATCAAGAGATCTTGGTGAACCATGTATCCCCTTTTCTTGGCTTTCTTGGTGGAAATATAGGATCTATTGCTGTTTGGACAATACTTCGAGCCATGTGTGGTAACAGGTGCCTGTAATAAATAATGTCAGAATTATATAATTTTTGAAAATCTCATATCTTGTTTATTTCCACATTTTTTGACATTTTGAAAGCAGAATTTATCAAAATCAAAAAATAGGATGAGAAAACTTTCCAAAGACAAAGTTTTTGAAGTTAAGTACTTTAATGAGCATGTCATTTTCTCAAATACGTCTTTTAGAACAAGCCCTGTAACATGTTTCCCCATAAATCTACACTTCAAATAACAAATTATACATTCATGACATTTGTGATTAAAATTAAACATTTATTTTTTTTCAAAATTAAACATTTTTTTTCTTCAAAATTACTCTGTTTTGAAATATAATAATGATAGATTTTCATAATATTTCTAAAGCTTAAAGCTAAGCAAGGGCAGAATATCATTTTATAGCATGAATATATGCATGTTTTATGAATAACCTGATGGGGATCTTTTAATTTTGCTGTTTCACACAGATCATAGCTATTGCAAAATAAAACTTGGACCTAGTGAATGTCACATGACATTCTGTTAGTGTTACATAGATATGTTCAAACTAGAACTATCGCTGAATGAGATTCATACCCCCACCAATGTCCTTGACAGAAGACGACTTGGAAAGGTGGTTAAGAGAATAACTTTAGTGGCACAAATACATATACATAAAAAGAAATTATCTCTGGTGAAAAAAAGACAAATTGTACAGGTAATAGTATAAATATATATTGTCAAATCATGTTTGAAACAGTTACAAATAACCTTTCATTTTCCCAATGTACTTAACAAACAAAAGCAGTAATGTTGAGAAAATAGCATAACTATGTCAAAATGTAATTCAGAGTGGAAAAACTTTGCATACTGAGGTTACTTGTGACCCTTCATATATTATATAGTTTCAAGTGGATATCTCTTCTAGTTTCAGAAACATTTAAGTATTAATGGTTATATCAGAACATTTTCTAAGCCTAAAAGGGACATAACTTGTGTCATAATTCAATGGAATTGTAGAATTTTTGTCATCTGAGCTTGCTTGTAACCATTCATATCAATTTCAAGTTTCAAGTAAATATCTGTTCTGGTTTAAGAAATATTATAGTAAATAAATTTAAAGACATAAAAATGGACTTTATTAGGTTTTACATCAACCCTTTAGGTCATATATCAACGTTCCAGCTTTACTGGTGGAGGAAGACCTCAATCTCATGTGCCCTTTTGTGCATTATTTCAGGCACAAACTGGTACCCGAGTAGAACCACAGACGTTCCATAGGCTAGCTGGATAGCTTCCTCACATGAAAGAATTCAAAGTCTCTGTTGAGATTCGAACCCACAGTGATGAGGGGCAAGTGGTGGGGGTATAATTACAATAATGTCATGGCTTCTTTCTGGAACAACTGTCATCAATGTACGTATGACGGGTGAAGAGGGAGACAAGGTGGCAAAATGTGTTGAGGTGGCAAAATGTGTTAACGTTTTTCCGCATATTTACTGACAGTAAAAACATACTGGGCACATGCTGGAGCTCCGTTCACCTCTATCAACCAAACTTTCATGTTGTCATCTAGCAAGAAATCAAATCCAAACAACTGAAAACACACATATCCCAGACCCTTTGTATTTATTTTCTGAAATAAAAAAATAAACAAGCTGATTTTCTTTATTTCATTACAGCATTAAGACTAGTGATGTTCCGATTGTCGCAAGTCACCTATTATCAGTTACTGTTATGTAAAGCAACTATAATCAATTCACAAAAATTTGTTCCGTGACATCGTCGAAAATGTTTTAAGTATCAAAGGGAATTAATTCTGACGGTAATTTTCTTTTAGGAACACCTCGCCGATCGCAAAAAATCATCTCAGAGACAATTTAGAGTTGAACAGGATCAATATAGTAATATAATGTGATGTGAATGTTATTTGACATCCATTGAAAAATAAAATCTATTTCATATATTTATGACTATATAAGGTTAAAACTGTATTGAAAAGTACTAAATGAAGTTCATGTTACTGAATGTTATCAAGTGCCTTGGGAACAAATGTTACTTCCCTATTTCTTTTTAACGCGACTGTATTTGAAAAGTTATCGATTATGTCCCATCCGACTGAACCGATGATCGATTGGGACAAATTTCATCCAATTTCCATCACTAATTAAGACAACCTTTTAATTATATAAGCACATATAAAATTTATAATTATATTTCCTATGGCACTGAGTGAAATATCTATTCATACAGAATATCACAAAGAAACATAAACAAACAAACAAGCAAACAAAAATAACTCAATAATTTGGTATCTTACAGAAATAAAGAAATGTCATCAGCAACAAATTAAAGAGAAAATTAACAACACATGCTTGTATCAAGATTATGAAACAAGCTCCTTAATAAATAACACTCTGCTTATTTCAGCAAGAGCTACATTAAATATCACACAAAAATGTGTGAAGTTTAAAGTCACATGACTACCTGCAGTGGTTAAAGAGATATGAAATTGCATGATAAACAAAAATCAAATGTTACAATAATGAAGACACAGGGTCAAATGTGTGTAGCGTCTCAGTAGTGATTCTAAAATTGTTGAAAAAGAAAAATAAACACTAAAATTTGGGAACAAAATCCTTCCTGAATAATGTTGAATCTTACCTCTTTAACAAGAAAGAAACATCTTTTCACAATGTCCTTGATTTGTGGTATAATAGATGCTTCCATTGTAGTGCCATGTGTATCCATTAAATATCTGAATAAGTGAAATACAAAGCATTAGTATTGCTTTTTAGACTTATGGTTTAAAAATAATGTTTTTTTTTATTATAAAACAATAGTGAATACTGTAATAAAAAATCATTAGAATTTTCTTTTGGTTGGCAATGCTCAAATTTGATAAAAAAAAAAGAATGCTGCAAAAACAAGAACTGTCGGAGGACAGTAACGCTCGACTATTCGAAAATTTGTCACAAGGGTGTTTCATTGAGTATAATAATGCTTACCTATATGAATACATAAAATTGTACGAAAAGGTACAAACCCTTCAAGTTTCAATACAATCACAGAGAACAAGTCTGTGACGTTTCAATCCATTCCCTTCAGTAGTTATGGAGATACCAGCTTACACACAAAAACTTAACCACGAATTTATGAATCGAAAAAGGGGAATAATTATGCGAAAAAGTATATCAGAGTTATGGCACTTGTGCCAATCATCTTAAATAATATCACAGAGACCAAGTGTGTGAAGTTTCAATCCATTCCCTTCAGTAGTTATGGAGATACCAGCTTACACGCAAAAACTTAACCAAGAATTTCTAAGATAAAAAAGTGGCATAATTATGCAAAAAAGCAAATCAGAGTTATGGGACTTGTGCCAATCATCTTAGATAATCACAGAGACCAAGTGTGTGAAGTTTCAATTCATTCCCTTCAGTAGTTATGGAGATACCAGCTTACACGCAAAAACTTAACCAAGAATTTCTAAGTCGAACAAGGGGCATTTTTATGTAAAAAAGCAATTCAGAGTTATGGGACTTGTGCCAATCATCTTACATAATCACAGAGAACAAGTGCGTGAAGTTTCAATCCATTCCCTTCAGTAGTTATGGAGATACCAGCTTACATACAAAAACTTAACCAAGAATTTCTAAGTCGAAAAAGGGGCATAATTATGTAAAAAAACAAATAAGAGTTATGGGACTTGTGCCAATCATCTTAGATAATCACAGAGAACAAGTGTGTGAAGTTTCAATCCATTCCCTTCAGTAGTTATGGAGATACCAGCTTACATACAAAAACTTAACCAAGAATTTCTAAGTCGAAAAAGGGGCATAATTATGTAAAAAAGCAAATCAGAGTTATGGGACTTGTGCCAATCATCTTACATAATCACAGAGAACAAGTGTGTGAAGTTTCAATCCATTCCCTTCAGTAGTTATGGAGACACCAGCTTACATACAAAAACTTAACCAAGAATTTCTAAGTCGAAAAAGGGGCATAATTATGTAAAAAAGCAAATCAGAGTTATGGGACTTGTGCCAATCATCTCAGATAATCACAGAGAACAAGTGTGTGAAGTTTCAATCCATTCCCTTCAGTAGTTATGAAGATACCAGCTTACATACAAAAACTTAACCACAGGGACGCCGACGCCGACAAATGGGTGACTGCATTAGCTTGATTATTCTACGAATAGTCGAGCTAAAAACCCAAATAATAAATAAAATATATTTATTTTAGCAGATCTGGAATACTCTCTAGTCTGCTTTCTGAAACTAACCAATACTGGTGTCATATGAAGAATATAGTTGTATCACAAGTAGGGCTCAAACCCACAGTCCCTGGGTTGAGAGGCAGACATCTTAACTACAATGCCTTAACTACCACCTCTCTCCTTATTAAAATAATACATTTAAGGAATAAAGTTACTATAGTATGTCCCATTAAGTGTCAGAATGCTTGTGTTGATAATAACCTGCCTGTGCCATTTATTCAGAACAGTAATCACTTTACTCAGACTGACTATATCTTATTCTGTTGACTGTTTTTCAAAGTATTTTGAAATTGAAAGTTGGATGGTACAAATTCCAGTTCAATTTTTATTTTTAGCAGTTAAGGTTACAAGGTCATAGTGATTTTGTACAATATTCTCAAGCAACAGGTATGACAAATTACATACATGTACATGTAAATATTTTCTAATAAACATTTGAAACAATTAAAGCAATGTTTGGATTATTATTGTATAACATGTACATGTATATACCTATGCAGGAGAAAGAAAAACAATATTCAACTCAATTCTTTGATTATATACATCTATAAACCTCTCTCTATATTTGATATTGAATGTTACAGTATGAGTTTATGTGTAAAATTTATCACAGATATTTCTGTCAAGACTATTTCAATGTATAATACTGATGCATTTTGAAAAATAAAGGGAGATAAATTATTTTTTTTCAAATTTACATGTTACAAGTTACCTGTTAAACTGATCAAAGAACATTTCATTCCCATCTTCATACAGACCAAAGTTTGATGACCTTTCCTCCTGTAGGCAATGATTAGTCAGGTGACTTGTGACCTTTGAAAGGTCATCAGGGTCATAGGATTCAGAGGAAGTTCTTAAAACACCTTCTCTAAACAAATATACATTAAAATTGGAATCTAGTAGTACCCAGCTCCTGAAAAAAACATGTATCTGTGCTTAGTTTAAGATCTACCCAATATATATAATATTGCAATTACATTAATTCTTTTTATCAGGTTTACTGTCACACCAACACTGGTGAATATTTCAGTTTTACTGATGGAGGAAGACATCAGGGGCATGCACTTTCATGCATTATTTCAAGCATAAGTTGGTACCTGAATAGAACCCTTTTACCTTCCATAAGCTAGCTTGATAGCTTCTTCACATGACCAATTCCAGAAAAGTTCCTCGTGCGATTCTAAGCTGCAGTAGTGGGGGGCAAGTGTGATTTAATATTGTCACTATTTATGTTATAAATATCAATAATTAAGTATAATCAGGAACTTAGGGAAAGTACAAAATGATGTTTTTCAAACAGTGAACATTTGCCTATTTTGCATTGTTTATGTTTAAGAAAAAAATTAATTAGTGTGGACGTAAACCAGAACAGAGACAGAGAACACTTGTAAATCAAACTATTTGCAAGTAAGTAGGTATGCAAGAATATAAAGAAGACTAAGTATATTCACACAATTAATGGACTAAACTACACAAAACATATCATGAAAACAGGATACAAACAAAAATGTCTTAAATTTCATACAAAAAACCCTATAATTTTTCAGTTTTACTAACATGCTTGACCTTTATCATGTCCAATTGTTAAGTGTAAGGATATCCTACCTGATGTCAAATTTTCTGCCACCTTCTAGTAGAAATGGATTATTGATATATCTCTGTATAACAAATGCTTTACTCTGATCATCTACATAATGTAGTAAGGCATGTACATCGTCTGATATCATAATTCCATCCCCTATATAATACAGAAACCATTACTCAATATTTCCTTCAAGCAAATATTAAACAATAGTAATCAAAGGATTGCTGGCCGGATGAGTTCAAACCTCGTCAGGGGCAAGCCAATGTTTCTTTGAGCAAGAAAGTTTACATTCATTTTCGCTTAGTACTGGTTAGTTCTGGGAATGGATTTGAGAGTGTTTTAATAAGCTTATAGCGTTCAACACAATCAAACTAAAATAAATTCATATAAACTTAATATTTAGCATGATGACCAACAAATGTGATAACATTAACAAAGACCTATCAAAAGTTTGAGAAATAAATTTACTCTTACACTGCTGGCAGAAACTGAATATACCCAGGCAACCAGTGCAGACCATCCCTGTTGTCTGACCATGGTCAGTACTGTTTGCTGTTCAGATAAAAACAAAAACCTAACAACAAGGTTGCTTTTAACTTGGATAAAAATTAAACCTAACGGGATATACAATGTATGTATTAAAAAATATCTAAATAAGCAAAGATGTATACCCTTGGCTCCTGCAGTATGTTTGGCTATCCATATCACAGATTCTTCTTCCTTTACCATTTGAGTGTAAGCCTCCAACAACTCACCTCGGTCATCTGGCTTCTCCCCTCGTACTAAAACTGACGAGTTACGTAAACTTGTATGCACAACATTCTTCGGAACTATTCGGAATGATTGGGGCAACCATTTTGGATAGCTGTATTTGACTACACTACAGTATTCTTTAAACACTCTAAAAAGTAAGTATATTTAATGAGACTGAATATATGTCATACCAATTAATAAGAATGTATATTTTCAAAGTTAATACATATATTGTTCAATTTTTTAAAATTTTACGTTTGAAGTTCAAAATTTGTCTATTATCAAATTAGGTGTGCCATAGTACATAGCCCATTCAAACTGCATGGACCTGCACCCTGACCTGGTTCTAATACTTGCAGCATAGCTATAATTTTCAGTTCTAGCATTTTACAATTAATCATATGAATTCTTTGAATCCCGACAGATTCCCGACATTGCTGTAGATTCCCGACAGGGGACTTTGGATTCTTTCATGTGAGGAAGCTATCTGGCTAGCTTATGGAACATCAGTGGTTCTACTCAGGTGCCCGTTCGTGCCTGAAATAATGCATGGAAGGGCACCTGGGGTCTCCCTCACCAGTATAGCTGGAACGATGCAATATGACCTATACTGTGTCAATGTGACGTAACATCCAAAACAAACAAACAAATCATATGAATTCAAAGTAAAGAAGTTTTTTATGCATGAAATATAAATATTTTCCTTACATTCATGTAAAACAAATGCTCTCGACTTAAAATGAAATCTATCTCTTAATAGTTATTCTAAGAGTAAAAATGAACATGTTCACTTAACTCTTTGCCGGCTAGAGGAAAATGATTCTATTAATGGGATCAGTGCAGACAAAGAGCAGACAACTCTTCTGTGCAATTTGAATTCATTTGATCATGATCTGCACTCTTGGCTATTCAGTTAGTATTACATATAAATGTAATACATTTTTAAATTATCAATTAAAAAGATGAATGGTTTTGTGCATATTGAAAGCGTGATAAGTCCATTTAATATATAAGGGTCCAGATCAAACTACATTATTAGTTATTAAGATTTTTGAAAGGTTAAATGGCCCTATATACACGGTTGTTTAAAAATATAACCTGAGCCGCTAGATGAGAGTTATATTGCAAACACCATTTATATATGACCATATAACCTGTCAGAAATATTAATAAGTTATTTATAATACAGCAAGCATCTTTTTTTTTAAGAGTAAAAAGTGAGATTTCTCCATCAAATGACAGAAGCTGTGTATATAAAACTATATTAACATCACGATTATCCAATGAAAAGCGACGTTACAGACGTGCAGTATTATAAATCTACTAGTAACAGTTTTGTTAGCATTACTATTCCTACAACAGATACCTATGTAGTACATGTATGTATTGGCAACTTACTTCACTAATGCTGTTTTTCTACAGAGGATATCAGAGCCTCTATAATAGTTGACAAGTTGAACTTTTCCTGGATCATGACCTGTAAAACACATGTAGTTAAATCTTAATAAAAACTAAACACTCATTGTCAAAGAGTTACAGAAAAGAGGACCAAAATTAAGTGAAATTCATCATATTATTGTGTTTGGTTCTGGGGTATGGAATAAACCATTATTACTGCTTTCAACTAACATGTAACTTACCTACTGTTTTTCTTTAATGGGCAAGTCCTGCTTTGAAATTTGAACATACCAGGACGAATGAGGCAAAACATTATTTATTGCTATCTCTGTAACATATATGTAAACCTAACAACAAATAAATCATTCTAATTAAAGTAGATATATTCTGCATTTTAATGTATGATTTATGGAAATTTCCTTCAATTGTAAGGATCTGATATTTACTTACCAAGTCTACCAAAAGGAAGTTTATTCCTTTCTCCAAACATCAAGTGGAAAGAAACAGAATTTGAAGGAAGCTTTTTCCAGTCATTCCCTCTCTCTTCCAGGAGATATTTTGATACTGCTTTATACACCGAACTGTTGACATCTCTTCTAACAAAGCCATATTGTTCCATGGTATCTCTATAAAAAATCTCAATATAATCATATACAAGGACACTTTTCTCATATAACATATAAAAGGTGACATTACTCTGCAAACATGCTTATCAGACTAACTTGCACTTGTTAGTCAACAATTATTTCAAATTTAAAGTGAACACTAATTAAATAAATATTTCAAGTTTGAAGTAAATACCTTCAACGGTTTTTGAGAAAAAAGGGAAATAATGAAGCAAAAATGACTTTAAGGATTATCACCCCTTTAAAAATGCATGTCAAATTTGATAGTGAACAAGTACTCTAAGACAGTTTCTTTGAGAAATGTCCCTTAAAAAAAGAGACTAAAATAAGTGTTGGAGCACTCACTACAATGTAAATACTGTATTCTGGTATATACCAGACAAGGTGCTTGAATGATTAAATGCTTAAATATTGTCTTTTTACTCAATGGAATAAACTTATAAATGTCTAAGTCATCTCTTCACGCCAATTTATATACAATAATGAATAAAAAATGTAAGAATCAGTGAAAAAAGTGATATTTTTCTACTTTGTGATCATGATTTCTGCAAGTGTCTATACTAGAATAGGTACTGCTCCAACACTGTAGTGAGTTAAATCTTAATCAAAAAGTTAAACCAAAAACGTAAGTCAGTAGGGGGTATAACTCTGAAACAAGAGGGCCATGATGGCCCTGAGGTCGCTCACCTGTATATAGCCCCCCCCCCCCCCCCCCCGGCCCAATTTTTACCCAAGGGCTTTTATTTGTTTATTTGAACAGACTTGGTAGACACCCATAAGAAGATGTTTCATGCAAAACATCTAAGTTCTAGCTCATTGGGTTTTTTAAAAGAAGATTTTTTAAGTTTTTACTATACACATAGAGTAAAAAACAATGACACCCCTCGGGCAGGGCCAGTTTTGACCCCTGGGCTTTTATTTGAACAAACTTTGTAGATATTTACTTAAAGATGTTTCATGCTTAATATCTAAACTCTAGTTATTTGGGTTTTTTTAAAGAAGATTTTTTAAGTTTTTGCTATGTATATAAGGAAAATCAATGACCCCCAGGGCGGGGCCAGTTTTGACCCCAGGGCTTTTATTTGAACATACTTGGTAGACACCCATTAGAACATGTCTCATGCTAAATATCTTAGCTCTAGCTCTTTGGGTTCTTTAAAAGAAGATTTTATAAGTTTTTACTATATGCATATAAGGAAAATCAATGACCCCTGGGGAGGGGCCAATTTGGACCCCAGGGGTTTTTATTTGAACAAACTTGTAGACATTCACTAGAAGATGTTTCATGCCAAATATATAAGCTTTAGCTCTTACAGTTCTTTAAAAGAAGATTTTTTAAGTTTTTACTATATGCATATAGGGAAAATCAATGACCCCCTGGGCGGGGCCAATTTTGACCCCAGGGCTTTTATTTGAACAAACTTGGTAGACATTTACTAGAAGATGTTTTATGCCAAATATCTAAGCTCTAGCTCTTACGGTTCTTTAAAAGAAGATTTTTTAAGTTTAAACTATATGCATATAGGGAAAATCAATTACCCCCAGGGCGGGGCCAATTTTGACCCCAGGGCTTTTATTTGAACAAACTTGGTAGACATTCACTAGAAGATGTTTCATGCCAAATATCTAAGCTCTAGCTCTTTGGGTTGTTTAAAAGAAGATTTTTTAAGTTTTTACTTTATGCATATAGGGAAAATCAATGACCCCCTGGGGCGGGGCCAATTTTGACCCCAGGGCTTTTATTTGAACAAACTTGGTAGACATTCACTAGAAGATGTTTCATGCCAAATATCTAAGCTCTAGCTCTTACAGTTCTTTAAAGGAAGATTTTTTAAGTGTTTACTATATGCATATAGGGAAAATCAATGACCCCCCGGGCGGGGCCAATTTTGACCCCAGGGCTTTTATTTGAACAAACTTGGTAGAACACTCACTAGAAGATGTTCCATGCCAAAAATCTTAGCTCTAGCTCTTACAGTTCTTTAAAAGAAGATCTTTTAAGTTTTTACTATATGCATATAGGGAAAATCAATGACCCCCCGGGGGCGGGGCCAATTTTGACCCCAGGGCTTTTATTTGAACAAACTTGGTAGACACTCATTAGAAGATGTTTCATGCCAAATATCTAAGCTCTAGCTCTTAGGGTTGTTTAAAAGAAGATATTTAAAGATTTTTCTTTCGGTTGCCATGGCAACCAGAGTTCTGCATGGAATTAAATTCTTTGAACAATTTTTAAAGGTGACCACCAAAGGAACATTCCTGTGAAGTTTGGATGAAATTGGCTCAGTGGTTTATGAGGAGATGTCATTTAAAGCAAAAGTTTACGGACGGACGACGGACGACGGACGGACGGACGGACGGACGCCGGACGAAAAGCGATCACAAAAGCTCACCCTGTCACTTTGTGACAGGTGAGCTAAAAATAGATTAAAAAGTTAGCTGCCCTTTAAAAATGCACTCTAATTTAAAAACTGGAAAAGCATTTCAAGTTTGAAGTGCTTTAAGACATTGTCACAGTTTTTGAGAAATTTACCTTAAAATCTTTTTATGTCAAATATCACTTATCTTGGCATTGTAACTTAACAATAGAAGACCTAAATGCAAGTTGAAATATACTAAGTTACCCCAGTAAAGGGGCCCATTTTTGATACCCAGGCACGATTTATACCGGTATAAATTGAGACATTTCAACTTAATAAGTCTATGTAAAATAAGTGAACCCCAAACTGGGCCATTTTTGACCCCTGGGGGGCATGACTTATATAACTTTTGTAGATGTCCACTGGGCATTGTGACATGCCAAATATCTAAGGTCCAGGTAAAGAAGTTTCATAAAGACTTTATTGTATTTTCCTATACAAGTCTATATTAACTACCCGACCAATGAGTAGCGCCAATTTTGACCTAAAGGAAATGATATATATAACTTTTGTAGAGGATCACAAGGTGATGCTTCATGCAAAATAATTAAGCTCTTGGGATTTCTATTTCAAGAAAGAAAATTTTTAAGACATTTTCCCGATACATGTCTCTGAAAAATAAGTGACCCCAGGGGCATGACTTATGTAACATTTGTAGAGGCTATTAGCAATGCTTCATGCCAAATAATATTAATACAAGAATTTGTAACAGAGTTACCAACGTCCCCCGCCTCGTTAAGTTTTATATGAAGCATGAAATTGTGCTATTTCAAAAGATTGAGGTATGGATCTCAGGACATTCAGTCCAAAATTATGATCAATGCTAGATCTGCAAATGCAACAATAAATTTGTTAAAAAAATAAAATGAAACACGGAATTTAAAAATCTATCATGTTAAGCTTTGACCTCCAAGTGTGACCTTGACCTTGGAGGTAGGGATGCAGGTGTTGTGCATGACATAACGCCTTATTATTGAGACTATTTGTGCCAAGTATTTTCAAAATCCCTTAAACTATGAAGAAGTTATAGATTGGACACAAAATATACCCTATAACAGACTAAGTAAATCTTTGACCTCTAAGTGTGACCTTGACCTTAGAGGTAGGGACACAGATGTTACGTATGACATATCATCTAATCATTGTGGCTATTTGTGCCAAGTATTTTCAAAATCCCTTAATCTATGAAGAAGTAATGGACGGGACACAAAATATACCAAATAACAGACTCTGTTAACCTTTGACCTCTAAGTGTGACCTTGACCTTGGAGGTAGGGGTGCAGGTGTTGTACTTGACATATCGTCTTATTATTGTGACTATTTGTGCCAAGTTATTTCAAAATCCCTTGAACTATGAAGAAGTTCTAGATCCGACACAAAATATACCCTATAACAGACTATGTTAATTTTGACCTTTAAGTGTGACCTTTACCTTGGAGGTAGGGATGCAGGTGTTGCGCATGACACATCCTCTTTTTATAGTGACTATTTTGTACGAAGTATTTTCAAAATCCTTTGATCTATGAAAAAGTTATGGACCGGACACATAATATACCCAGTAACAGACTATGTAAGTATTTGACCTCCAAGTGTGACCTTGACCTTGGAGGTAGGTGACCGGTTTTTGCGCATGACACATCGTCTGATTATTGTGAACAATTATGGCAAATATTTACAAAATTCCTTCATAGATAAGAAAGTTATGGACCGAACACGACATATACCCTCAAATAGACAATGTTGACCTTGAATGAGCAAGTGCAACCTTGACCCTGGAGGTAGGGGTCTGGTTGTTGTGCATGACACATCCTCTTATTATAACAAACATTTGTGCTAAGTTATTTCAAATTCCTTTGATAAATGACAAAGTTATGGACCGGACACGAAATATACCCAGTAACAGACTATGTTAATATTTGACCTCCAAGTGTGACCTTGACCTTGAAGGTAGGTGACTGGTTTTTGGGCATGACACATCGTCTGATTATTGTGAACAATTATGACAAGTATTTACAAAATCCCTTCATAGATAATAAAGTTATGGACCGGACACAACATATACCCTCAAATAGACAATGTTGACCTTGAATGAGCAAGTACGACCTTGACCCTGGAGGTAGGCGCATGACACATCATCTTATTGTGCCAAGTTATTTCCAATTCCTTTCATAAATGACAAAGTTATGGACCGGACATGAAAGTGTGACGGACGGACGGATGGACAGACGGACGGACGGACGGAGCCTTTTTCTATATCCCCCTTTTTTCTTCGAAAAGGCGGGGGACAATTAAAGCTCTTCTCAGACTTCTGAGGCTATATTGGCATTCATGGTTGTTTTACAAAAGATGCAAAACAGGAGGGGGGAGAGGTAGCAGCCCCAAATAAGCTAGTCTGCTAATATTATTAGTATTACATGATCCAGTACACTAGATGTGTTAAACATACAAAATGGATATTAAAGACACAATGTTTTATGCTATTTTATGTGAATAACATAGCTAGGACTATACGTACGAGTACATGTTTACATCCGCACCGATCGATAGTTACAAGCATTTCTGGCCAGTAACTACGTTTATTTGCATAAAGTAACGGAAATATTAATACCCATTATTAATGTCAAACATTTACTTTAATTTTGTAACAATCAATATCTTAATATTACTCTTAAGCATTAAAAAATTTACAATAAACGGGATCCGCTTCTTACCGTTCTTGAATATTACTCTTCACAAAGAAGATTTTTCATTCGTCCAGTTTCCCAGAAAAATTGAAAAATTTATCTAATTGTTCTTAGTATCTAAAAGTCACGATGAGTAAAAAGCTTGATATAACAAAGGAAGATTTGTATGGGATCCTTGATGTGGATGAAACAGCTACAGAAAAAGAAGTAATATGTCAAAAATTTCAATTGTCACATAATTTCGCGAAGATGTGTAATTTTTGTTTACAATGTTAAAATAATGATTAATCAAACCACAGTGATGATGCACATTTTTAAGGCATCAAAGTACAGAATACTATGTCCACTGGTTTAAATTTTTTTAAAATACGCGTTTGCTAATTTTGTAAGATAATCTTTTTTCTTCCAAAATATTTCAACAACTTTCATAACTTGATAACTACACAAGATCATGAAGATGGTCTATTTAATATAAGGAATAGTAGCTAGTATCCTTCTACTTTTTGTTTGGTGTTATACTCAATTTCAGTTACCCATTAGTAAGAATAATCAATGCTTCACTGTATTTTTCTGTTGATAAATAATTCAATGATAGATCTAACATAATTTTGAAACAAACCATTACTGTACAGTAATTTTGACCAGTTATTAATTGTTAAGTAAATAAGTATGAAATTAGACAACGGCTCTATGAATGGGGAAGTCGTTGAAAAATTTGTACAATTTCCTGTGTTAAAGGTGTAATTCAATATTTCATGATGCCTGCTACCGTTTTCAATCTGAAAACCTCGACGATTATTATAAAGCCCAACTGTTGAAATCGTTCTGTTATCAGAATGCCCCTCCTATTATCATTGAGTTACATTGAAAATTGCCACGCCCAATTTGAAATGACACTCAAAATTTCAGTGATGGGTATAGAAATCTATATATTTTTTGCAGTCCTGGTCTTTGAATTCTCGTTTTAAAATTCATCCAAAACAGAAACAGGTGTTAATGTCATAAACTATGCTGTGATTTCATAAAATTTGGACATATTTCATACTCACTGCAGTTATGAGAAAAACATCATGCAATTAACAGTTATAAACAAAACTTATCGAAATTTTGTATTGTAGTTTTTACCATCAGTCTGTCCACTCACTGCACTTTCAATGTGATAGTTTTATATTTGTACAAAAATAGTCATTTAAAGATGATTTTACTTTATGTTCATCCCCACATGTCAGGGTCTTAACATCATTTTTAGCTCGACTATTCGATAAGAATAAGTAGAGCTATTGCAGTCACCCGAGCGTCGGCGTAACCACTTATGTTAAAGTTTTTGTAATAGTTCAAATATTTTCAAAGTCCATAGACATATGGCTTTGAAACTTTGCACACTTGTTCACCATCATGACCCCAACCTGTAGACAGGAGGAGGTAACTCTATCAAGCATTTTGACAGAATTATGCCCCTTTTTCGACTTAGAATTTACGTTAAAGTTTTTGTAATAGTTCAAATATTTTCAAAGTCCATTGACATATGGCTTTGAAACTTTGCACACTTGTCCAACATCATGATCCCAACCTGTAAACAGGAGGAGGTAACTCTATCAAGCATTTTGACAGAATTATGCCCCTTTTTCGACTTAGAATTTACGTTAAAGTTTTTGTAATAGTTCAAATATTTTCAAAGTCCATTGACATATGGCTTTTAAACTTTGCACACTTGTTCACCATCATGACCCCAACCTGTAAACAGGAGGAGGTAACTCTATCAAGCATTTTGACAGAATTATGCCCCTTTTTCGACTTAGAATTTACGTTAAAGTTTTTGTAATAGTTCAAATATTTTCAAAGTCCATTGACATATGGCTTTGAAACTTGGCACACTTGTTCATCATCATGACCCCAACCTGTAGACAGGAGGAGATAACTGTATCAAGCATTTTAACAGAATTATGCCCCTTTTTCGACTTAGAATTTACGTTAAAGTTTTTGTAATAGTTCAAATATTTTCAAAGTCCATTGACATTTGGCTTTGAAACTTTGCACACTTGTTCACCATCATGACCCCAACCTGTAAACAGGAGGAGGTAACTCTATCAAGCATTTTGACAGAATTATGCCCCTTTTTCGACTTAGAATTTACGTTAAAGTTTTTGTAATAGTTCAAATATTTTCAAAGTCCATTGACATATGGCTTTGAAACTTGGCACACTTGTTCACCATCATGACCCCAACCTGTAGACAGGAGGAGATAACTGTATCAAGCATTTTAACAGAATTATGCCCCTTTTTCGACTTACAATTTACGTTAAAGTTTTTGTAATAGTTCAAATATTTTCAAAGTCCATTGACATTTGGCTTTGAAACTTTGCACACTTGTTCACCATCATGACCCCAACCTGTAAACAGGAGGAGGTAACTCTATCAAGCATTTTGACAGAATTATGCCCCTTTTTCGACTTAGAATTTACGTTAAAGTTTTTGTAATAGTTCAAATATTTTCAAAGTCCATTGACATATGGCTTTGAAACTTGGCACACTTGTTCACCATCATGACCCCAACCTGTAGACAGGAGGAGATAACTGTATCAAGCATTTTAACAGAATTATGCCCCTTTTTCGACTTAGAATTTACGTTAAAGTTTTTGTAATACCTCAAATATTTTCAAGGTCCATTGACATTTGGCTTTGAAACTTTGCACACTTGTTCACCATCATGACCCCAACCTGTAAACAGGAGGAGGTAACTCTATCAAGCATATTTTTACTATCAAGCACTAAGAATAGTCGAGCGTTGCTGTCCTACCGACAGCTCTTGTTATAATTCACAGATTACAAAGTCCTACAGAAAGCAAGCTTTGAAATGCCATCCTGACAAGAATCCAGATAATCCAAAAGCAGGTAATGTTGTGCTTTTTAGCTTGACTATTCATTAAGAATAAGTAGAGCTATTGCAGTCACCCGAGCGTCGGCGTCCGCGTCAGCGTCGGCGTGACCACTTGTGTTAAAGTTTTTGTAATAGTTCAAATATTTTCAAAGTCCATTGACATATGGCTTTGAAACTTTGCTCACTTGTTCACCATCATGACCCCAACCTGTAGACAGGAGAAGGTAACTCTATCAAGCATTTTGACAGAATTATGCCCCTTTTTCGACTTAGAATTTACATTAAAGTTTTTGTAATACCTCAAATATTTTCAAAATCCATAGACATATGGCTTTGAAACTTTGCACACTTGTTCACCATCATGACCCCAACCTGTAAACAGGAGGAGGTAACTCTATCAAGCATTTTGACAGAATTATGCCCCTTTTTCGACTTAGAATTTATGTTAAAGTTTTTGTAATAGTTCAAATATTTTCAAAGTCCATTGACATATGGCTTTGAAACTTTGCACACTTGTTCACCATCATGACCCCAACCTGTAAACAGGAGGAGGTAACTGTATCAAGCATTTTTTTTACTATCAAGCACTAAGAATAGTCGAGCGTTGCTGTCCTACTGACAGCTCTTGTTTTTAAATCAGATTATCAGATTTGGAATTGTATTTTCTTCAAGTTTTAGAATTGATTATTTTTTTTTAGATTTACCATTTGTTAATGAGGCTATTCCATTTTAATATTTCATACATGAACCTTAAATTTTCAACAAAAAAATAACAGACCTGATCATAGGCAGTTGGTTATATTCTGTAGGACCTTCAACAAATTAGTAGAACTTATAGATATAAATGTAAATGAATTGGTGTGTGACAGATCCTTAAACCTATTTTTTTATCCCTATGCTATGATAAAGAATTGACTTCCACATGATACTTGTATGTGAACAAAATAACTTGATTATTATATACATGTACATATATGTAAAATATATGATATTTCTCAATAGCCAGTAAATAAATTATTAAAAATGGCTACACAATCATTTTCTGATAGTATGAACCATTGTTTCATAGGACTAAAGGCTGAGAAGTTAAAATTCTGATATTAGTATATTTATTTATTATGTAAAAAATTGTCTTATTTTTCAGCTGAACTGTTCCACAAACTGACTCAGGCTCTTGACATCCTCACCGATGCTGCTGCAAAGGTACTCTTACTAGTATTGTGTTGTCTAAGTGGCCTGTCTAACTGATCAATTTATAAATGGGAAAATTATAAAATCAACAAGATAAAAATGTAAAGTTAATTTACCTTCATTTTTTATTTGTTGTGAAAATTTCTTCTGCTGTATAAGTTGTGAACATAATTTGTGATTACATGAAATCATGACTAATGAGGAGAAGTGGCTGGAATTGTAGAACTGTCGGCCTCTCAACCTATGGGTTGTGGGTTCCAGCCCTGCTTTGGTGGCAACCAAAATTTCCTCATTGATACTAATTCTTTGTCTTGGTAGTATCTGAGCATCAAATGCTTTGAAAGTGAATAATTATTTATGGCAAGAATTTGTTGTACAATCAAGCATAGATGATCAATGTTAAATTAAAGTAGTGCCACAATGATTCTGATGTATACTTTATTCTTTACAGGCAGCCTATGATAAAATACTCAAAGCCAAAAAAGCTGCATTACTACGCCAGAAACATTACGACTCTAAAAGAAAAAAGTTCAAAGAAGGTCAGTAATTTATTTACAATATATTTGTTTGGAAAGGATATTTTGTTTCTTCTTTATATATTGTTGTTGGTGACTGTGCATATATATGTTTAACTTGCTGAATTTTTGTAATGAGTTTGCAAAAAGCTTTGAGATTGGAACAGTCTTTTAACCTTTAAAGCTGCTCACCTCCAGATGAACCCAAGTATTTCAAGAAAATCAAAATTAACTAAGATGTTACAAAAGATTCAAATAATAATTGACATCTTACGTGAGATTAAAAAATGATTTTGTAGTTGCGTGACTTAAGCAGTAAGGGCTATTTTCGCATATTTTGACTAATTTCTGGTAATTTACATGGATTGTAAGTGCTGTTTGCAATGTGCAAATTACTTTTTTGTTTACTTCACATTATCTAACTTTTAGATACATTTTCAAAATTTTCATAAATTTGGCATGAATCTGGAGGCATGTTTTAAGGGATTTCAATATTGAATTACAAAATTGACCTACCAACAGTATAGAGCATGGTCAAACTGCATCCTTGTACAGATGCCTAGATATAGGGGCATTTTTAACATAAATTAGATGTTAATAATTTGATGTCTACTTATAACATTCATAGTTCTGCAAAGTATGTGTGCATCTTTGTTGTTTAAACTTAAATGGTAAATTATGATTTATAAAATAATCAAATATCAATGAAGTGTTTGACTTTATATACAGATCTAGAGGCAAGAGAGAGGGCAGCTGGTGAACAGAAGGTAGATTCTGCTGCTGATGCTAGAAAACTACAGGCAGAGGTTTGTCTATTTGCTGCTTTACAAGATCAGTACAGTAGGTTGATGATGGTTTGACTTGATACAGAAATAGATTGTGATAAACCTTATCATAACCAGTGTATAAAGACACATGTATTTTACCTTCATTCATCAAGTTCACTGTTGTTCCATACATCCTCTCAAAGGTATTTGTTGAAAATATTTCCCCATACCTTTTGACTGTTTGATGATACTGACATACAGTGTAGTTCAAATTCTCAAGAGATAGATGAGTATATTACCTTGCTGCATATTTCTGCCTAAGATAATTAAAATAGGGCATCTGACACCTGTGTGCCATTTGTCAGTATAAGTAAACTTTCCTTCGTCATACAGCTTAAAAATACAATTTTATAGAAATCGAAGATCATTAATAGAAGTCTTATGTGTAGACAGGGTTGCCAGCGGACTTGAAAAGTCAGGGAAATTGGGTATTTTTTCAAGGTCAGGGAATTGTCAGGGAATTTTGAAATTTGGTCAGTGAAAAATGAAATTCCTGAAAAGTCAGTGAAAAGTCAGGGAAAAATTATTTCAAAGGTCGAGAAATATACGCATTGAAGGTCTATCTTGGCCATGGCAGTCTTTAGGCATTTAATATTTGACTTTATCACTCTCACAGTTAAGCATTAAATTCAAATAACAGTAGACTGTGATATTAAGAAGCATTATATGTTAACTTAGTGATTATAATACCCATTATTTACCTTAGAACATCACTCAGCCTAAAGACTGAAAGGCTTTGCAACCCTTGCTATTTCTGTGCATGATCACTAGAAGTGCTTTTACCTACTAGCAATATCTAGTCAGTTCACTGTATTCTGTATTGGTCTAGCTATTTGCATGATCACTAGAAGGGCTTTTAATTACTAACAAAATCTAGTCAGTATACATGTATACCAAACTACCATATTGGCATATAACCTGCTTTGCTTTTTGCTTTGACACTAAGAAATTGTACAAAAGGATTTGTCTTGCAAACATGATGGACACTGGCTAAATTATGCAATGCACTAACTTTTTTTCACACTAACTTACTTCACTCATTCAAAGTCTTTAATTTTATAGTGATTATTTCATGATATGCCAAAATGAGCCCTTTGTTCTTGTTTTCACAATCAGTGGAGTTTATCATGATGCCTTATACAAGTAACTGTGTTAAATGTTTATTGTTCTTATAGTTTAGAGATGTTTAAATTTTAAGTTTTGTCATACAAGTATTTCTCTTATAGTCTTGGTGTTTTATGTGTTACTACTAGGAAGGAAAGAGTGACTTATGTGATTTCTAATACAGATGCTTATATTATGATTCTTCTGATTTTCATGTCATATGTTTCACTGACCAACAGTCACACTGTGTTTGAATAGAAATAGTTAAGAATAGTAGAACACAATGTTTGAATCATTACTTTGATGTAAATGTTTTTTATTTTGGAAAATAAACACAAATTTACATGCAAAAATATAATGGGAGGATTGGACGGCTGAAGGGGAGGTCAGGAGGCCGTTTATGTGTTTGACGATTTTGGTCAGTGAAAAACATAAATTGGTCAGTGAAAAGTCAGGGAAAAGTCAGGGAATTTTATTTCACCAAAGTGCTGGCAACCCTGGTAGAAAACTGCAAAATTAACTTGATTAGTTTTTATAAATTTCTAGATTGAGAGGTTACGTAAAGATGGCAACAGAATATTACAAGAGACACAGGAACAATTACGTAAAGATTTAGAGGAGAAGTTGAATAAAGCAGCTGATGATGGTGATGATGATGATGATGACTGTAGCACCGTAAAAATTAAGGTATGTAAGATAATGAGATTAATAGAGGCGTGTCCCTGACTGCTCTTATCAGCTTTCGAATCAAGATATTGTTTTGGTCTTAATATTTTGTATCAAAGGCAGTGCTAAGTTGAATATGATGTTTTATACTTAGAATTACATAAATATGTTTACAGTATTTTCAAATGATGCTTTTGATGTTAAGTGTTTTATCCCTGTATTTTAAGATGGGAATTCATTTTCCAATTAAGCACATCCTAACAATATTCTTTTCTTTGCCACCATGTAACAATAAGATTTGTTTATTTATTTTTGACTAATAATCCTATATATTTTCTGTTAAAAAAAAGATTAATTTAAGGCAGTTACAGGTTTGATGTGTTTGGCTGACATTCCTTACCATTTTGAGATCTTAAATTGATCATTGACAGCTCTAGAAACTGAACAAGTCCATTTCACAAATTTAGTGGGTAAAAGGTTAACTTTAATATTGTTGTTATTTTTAGGCTAAGTGGAAAATAAGGAAAGGTGAGAATAGAGATGAGGGCTACACTAAACAAGAGTTAGAAGACATATTTTCTAAGGTATGTAGTGATCGGATAAATATGACATATCACATGTCATGATACAAATTAAAATTTACTATATTGTTTCTAAGAATCTGTTGCACATTAATTACAGAAATGATTTTTTAAATGGAATTTTGATTAAAATTAAAATTTAGCTTGACTATTCATGGACTTAAATTGACAAAGTCCGTGATACATTCTATAAAAAGGAGAGCTGTCCTACTAACCTGGGTGTTGGTTAAGTTTTTGTACCACTTTACTTTATTTCTACAACAACTTATCACAACATTAACATCAAAACTTCTGATATAGTTCTTGCATTTTAATGGCATGAAAATTATATGTAAGTTTTACAATGACATTGCTGTATGCTGTGGTAGTCATTTACAGAAATTCTTGTATGATTTTAGTATGGTGAAGTGTTGAATCTAGTTGTATCAGTGAAGAAATCAGGAACTGCCATTGTAGAATATTCATCGCCTTATACAGCTGTAAGTTGTCTATATTACTGAAAATTCATTTGTCGTTTAGATTATCAACACATGACTTCAGGATACATGTAGTTGATTCTAAAACTTTATAAGTAAAAGTTGAATACTGCTGAAACTGATGCTAAGGTGTGTGAGAGATATTGCAGTTTTCATTGTCATTTTCATAATGAACAGATTTATTAAATCATTTTAATTTTATTTGTCTCCTCCCCATTTCTACATGTATAATTGTTTTTTACAAATGCAAACAATTTTTCTAAGTAGATATACAAGTTTGAAGCTTTGTTCTAGTTAAATCTAAGTAATTGTTTTTTTACTTGTTTAAGAAAACTTTTTGTAAAAATTTGGGAATCCTTAAAAATAACGGGAAAATTTAAATACTTGATAGTCTGCAATAATGAACAAAGGAACTACTTGGTTACAGTCTATAACAATGGAGAACCAAATAAAAAAGATTTTCTCTGCAGTAAAGTAAAACTTGTATTTATTTATTGATTTCATTATTTGATTACTATTCACAGGACCTTGCAGTAAGGAATGTAAAAGGAAAGGAAGATTTTCCACTAACATTGTCTTGGTTGTCAGGGCAACCACCAGAAGAAAGGCTTGGTAACCATAATAACGAGGCAACAGATGGGGGACAAAAATTTGCCTCAAATACAAGTGTTCCTACATTCTCAACTCCATCTCAGGTAATAGATAAAATTTGTTGCATATGTAACGAGCTAGTATTGCCTTTAATTGTGACAAAAAGGTCACTCAAAACAATGGCCTACCACAAAAGACTGTACATATTTAGGATAACCTACAAAAGTGAAAATCTTGACAATTCGTTTATCGCTGGTCTCAGTAGAACTTTACCAGTTTAATATACAGTGTATATATTTAATAATTATATTTTTAATTTATAATTGAATTTTTGTTTGCAATAGATTCATATTCTTTGATGGTTAAAGTAGATGAACCTGACTTATAGATACGTTGAATTTTGGAACACTTTGTATTGAAGCTTAGCTTGCTATGGTTTTAAAGATACACTTGCTTAGTGTTGCAATAAATTTGAGCTGCAAACATATCAAACTTATTTGGTGCCGTCGAGGGGGGGGGGGGTCCTGTGAATGCTGCCTTTGCTTTGTTGATCTTTAATCTCGTTTTTTTTTGGTTTTATTTGAGGATTCTGCATGGCTTCAAGTTTTAAGGCATTTACTTGAAGATCAGATTTTTTATGCACCTGAAAGGTCTCTTTTTCTATCTAAAAACAATAAAAATATTGCTAATCCTGGCTTTTTTAAAATAACTTGCACCCATGATTCTGTCAATCACGCTGATCACGCTAATATAACAAAAATATAGAAAAATGTCTTCCTGTGTCTTTATTTTCTAGTTTAATCTATTCTCGTGTATTCTAAATTGGTGTATAGCCATATGAGAATCAAAGGAATAAAATAACTGTACCAGAGTGCTAAAATATTCCTTTAACATAAAAAAGTGGGGAAATAGTGTTTAGATTTAATTAATGTAAGCGATTGATGATTATGTTAAGATTAGTAAAAAAGTATTTTTAACCAGGTTTTCAACGAAAACCGTGGTTATTGTAATGCCGAAGTCGGCGGGCGAGCGGTTGGCGGGCGGGCGGGCGTAAACTTTTGGTTTCCGCTCAATAACTTTGGGATTGCTACCCAGGTGTCTGTGATCTAGGTCAAGGTCACTGTTACTAAAAATAGAAATTCAGTTTCCGCTCAATAACTTGAGTTTGCTTTGGCCTATTCACACCAAACTTGGTGTATGGACAGCTTATATTCAAGAGGCAGCTTGGGATTGGTACCCAGGTGTCTGTGATCAAGGTCAAGGTCACTGTTACTAAAAATAGAAATTCAGTTTCCGCTCAATAACTTGAGTTTGCTTTGCCTATTCACACCAAACTTGGTGTATGGATAGCTTATATGAAGAGGCAGCTTGGGATTGGTACCCAGGTGTCTGTGATCAAGGTCAAGGTCATGTTACTAAAAATAGAAAATTCAGTTTCCGCTCAATAACTTGAGTTGCTTTGGCCTATTGACACCAAACTTGGTGTATGGATAGCTTATATCAAGAGCAGCTTGGGATTGGTACCCAGGTGTCTGTGATCTAGGTCAATGTCACTGTTACTAAAAATAGAAATTCAGTTTCCGCTCAATAACTTGAGATTGCTTTGGCCTATTGACACCAAACTTGGTGTATGGATAGGTTATTTCAAGATGCAGCTAGGGATTGCTACCCAGGTGCCTGTGATCAAGGTCAAGGTCACTGTTACTAAAATTAGAAATTCAGTTTCTGCTCAATAACTTGAGATTGCTTTGCCCTATTGACACCAAACTTGATGAATGGGTAGCTTATATCAAGAAGCAGCTTGGGATTGCTACCCAGGGGTCTGTGATCAAGGTTAATGCATTTAGTTTTCATGTTAAAACTTGAGTTTGCTTTGACCTTTTGACACTGAACTTGCTGAGTGGCAGCTTTGGATTGCCACTTAGATATCTGGGTACAAGGTCAAGGTAATTTGCTTACAATAGAATTTTCAGTATCTACTCAATAACTTCAGTGCACTTTGACGTATTGATTGTTGTCACATCAAAAGTTGGTCGTTGAAAACCTTGTTTTCGTCGCATTGCGGCGCTTCTTGTTATTTTAATAATGTAGAACAAATTTGAATGAAGCTATTACTTTTATGGTAAGTACCGGTATTAATGAATGTTTTTTAAACAAGAGCTCTCACAGGAGACAGTGAAGCTCGACTAATTTAATACTGGACGCAGTAAGGGAGACAAAACTATGGAAGAAAAATCAATTATGATATAAATATATTTCTTCTTATGACAAGAAGTCATTGTTGTTAACATAAATTCCAAGTTCAAGGGGGAAAATTCTGAAAATAGTCACACTAGAGTTATGGACTTTGTCACACAACATGTGGGTAATGACAAGAAATATATATTTGAAGTTTGAAGTAGATACTTAATAAGTAGAGAAGTAAAAATATTTCTTAAAGAAATTTTTAAGTTCAAAGGGAGATAAATCTAAAAATATTGCTTCAAGAGTTATGAACCTCATCACACAAGATCTGGTTGATGATAAGGAATATGTATTTGAAGTTTGTGGTAGATACCTTTAAAACTAAAGAAGTTATAGTAAAAGATAACATTTTTCAAGTAAAAAAAAATCTAAGTTAACAGGGAGATAAATCTTGCAATATTGGTACTAGAGTTATGAACCTTGTCACATAAGATGTGGTTAATGATAAGGAACATAATTATATGTGAAGTTTGAAGTTGATCCCTTAAGAAACAAAGAAGTTACAGTAAAAAATAATATTTTTTAAGGAAAATTCTAAGTTCAAGGGGAGATGAATCTGAAAATATTGGTGCTAGAGTTATGACCCTTGTCACATAAGATGTGGTTGATAATAAGGAACATATATTTAAAGTATGAAGTTGATCCCTTCAGAAGTAAAGAAGTTACAGTAAAAAAAAATAATTTGTTTTTAGAAAAAATCTAAGTTCAAGGGGAGATAACTCTGAAAATATTGGTGCTAGAGTTATGAACCTTGTCACTTAAGTTGTGGTTGATGATAAGGAACATATATTTGAAGTTTGAAGTTGATACCTTAAGAAATGAAAAAGTTATAATGAAAAATATTTTACTGCACCAAAACTTTAATCTGAAATCTGGACGCGGACGAAGATGCCAACGCCCAGGCTAGTAGGACAGCTCTCCATATACTTTGTATAGTCGAGCTAAAAATTAATTGTACATCATGTATATTGTATTAATTTTCCTGTTTGTAATGATCAAATAATCACCTGCATGGTCATGATCTACTAAATCATTTAGCAACCACTTTTTAGACACAAATAATTATATTTTTTCACACTTGAATACAAAAAGTATTTAGGTTAGTTCAATTCAAATTGTTTATGGTGGAGGATAAACCTTAATTGCAGCCAAGCAAGTTTCAGTATTTAACTATTTTATTTTCACAGCCTTACCAATTCAATGGCCCAGCATCTAGTGATAATAAAGACTTTGAAAGTGTTGTGTTAATGAAGATGAGACAAGCTGAAGAGAGGAAAAGATTGATAGAACAAATGGAGAAAGAAGATGAAGAAAATGGCTGACACCTGTGATTATTAACCTGTGGACATCTGATATATTTTTAAATCACTCATTTAAACATCTGACTCGTATGAAGTGGTTTTCCTATTCTCTTGCAAATGAGATGCTCCATTGTAATTGTAAATCTAAGCTGAATGTCCCAAGATTTGTGATTTCATATCTCAGCTGAATGTCCCCAAGATTTGTGATTTTATACCTGAGCAGAATTTCACCAGGATTTTTGATTGTATATCTGAGTTGAAACTTGCAAGATTTGTGATTGATATCTAAGATTTTTGTCATCAAACTTTGTGATTGTATAATCTAAGCTGAATATCGAGAAGATTTGTGATTGTATATTGTAGCTGAAAGTTATGTGATTGATAATATCTAAAGTGAATGTCACAAAGATGAAAACTCTTCTTTTATCCTTTATTTTTTGTAAGTTTTAAAAATAGAATTCAATTTGAATCAATGAAGTATCAAATATTGTATTCCTAGAAATGTTCGCGGATACAATATTTCGCGTTTTTCACAACGTCGGCATTTTCGCGGAGACAAACTTTCGCGGATATGTAGTAACCGCGAATTCCGCGAATGTTAAGTCGCTACGGTCTAAATTACAGCTTTTAGAGGCTACGTTTTTGATGCATAACCTTGCCTGTTGGGTGCTTTTAATTATTTTATTTTTTTGACAAGTCGCGCCTAAAGCGCAACGTTACTCGATTCATTTTCATCTATTGACTAGTTGAACAAGGACGGTTGTTCCGTGAACACTTTCATGTTTCCTTACCTTTTTTCATTATGTTATTAAGTAAGATTTAGTCAGACCCGTTAGCTTTTATTCTCATTTGAATCCTAACTGACTTTATCTTCAAAATGTCGATACTTTTTTTTACACATTATCGGACTGTACATCGCTTTCATTATAACAACATAACAGCTGTTTATCAATGTAGCACTTTATCGCTTTTGTACTTTTAACAAAGGATTACACCTACTCCAAGCAAATAAAATCCAAGTCATTCAATGTTCGCAAACTGTAAATGCGTTTGTCAACGCTGTGACTAGCAAATAACGTTAATAAGCATGATAATTACTAATAATATAATTTGTTATAAGTGACATATTCGCGGCTATAAAGATTCGCGGAATCATGCCTACCGCGAAAACCGCTAACTTAAAATGCGCGAAATCTTTTCTAGGAATACAGTAATGCATTTGATCTATTTCACTGTCTGAAAAATCAATAAAGAATGCTGCAACAAAATGTAAATACCTCTACAAGTCGAAATATAATATAAAATATAATCTGTTCTGTGACTGGAACAAAAATTGAAATGACAAAAATGTTGCACTTGGTTTTAGATAAAGATTAAGGTAATGGATATTGAAATTTGTTTCTTGTTGACAATTGTTGATAGTTATTGAGTTTGGAGTCATAGACATAAACAATTGCATCTTATTGCATCTTAGAAAATATAACTCAACAAAAAAATAAACAATGAAGTGAAGATATTGGGAGCATTGTTACTGTGCTGAATCTGGAAAAATAAAAAAGTACTTTAATATGTATATGTATTTTTTTACACAGAATAAAATATGAAATATTTTTGTAGTAATTTATTTGAACTAAGTAAATAAAATAAAGATGTTAAACAAGTTTTCTCCTCAATATTTTACCACTTGGTAATCTTGGTATTTCTTTAACAATGTGAACACCACCTCTTAACTGTTTATATGGGGCAACTTTAGCTGAAAGTAAAAGAACTAAACTTATAAAATAAAGATAAAAATAAATAAAAATATATAACTAAAAATATATCGCTAAGGAACATGTCAACTATTATAAGTGATATCAACTCTGTTACTGATTTTTACTGATAAAAAATTGTGAGTTAAAATGTTATGTTGACATGAATCTCTTTATTCTGAGGGGTTATTTTGGCGATCATTGCCTTCTACTTTATTTAATTTTAGTGTTACAGAAAAAGAAATAATAATAATAATAAAATACCGGTAACTTTTTTTGCCAAATTAATAGTGATCTTGTTATTGATTTTGAGACATTGATGTTAAAGAGTCATTTTTAGCAAGTTGTTACTTCTGACAATGTTAGTCTGTTCATTCTTAAAACATGGGATTTGTTAAAATTGGGAACTATTCTTTCAACTGAAATGTATATACATGTATAACGTTATCATAAAAGCACTGTACATACAATTCACAAAGTCTGCTAGAGTAGATTCAGGTGTTTTATTATTGCACACAACAAACGCTGTAGGAAGATGACCATCAACACCATGTGGTATACCCACAACTGCAGCATCCTCTACACTTTGGTGGGACAATAGAATAGATTCCAGATAAACGGGAGAAATCTGAAAATCATAAAGTAATAGATTTTTCCATCAGGTAATAAATAAATAAATACAATGCAGCCTGCGCAGTGTTGCTATTTAAAAAGCGATTACCTCTTTACAACAATAGTCTCAAGTTTCCTAAAGTAATACTTTGCAATAGATTTAACCTCGTAGAGCATCACCTCTGTCAACAAGAAAAATCTTTGTCTCCCAAACACGTTTCTCTACAGAGGTTGTATTGAAGTTGAGCTTCATGCCCAATAAGTTTGATAGGAAAACTTTATCGTAATAATTAAGTGTTAAATCGATGTACCTGCACGTTATGAAGTTCAGAAGTTTCATTTGGCAATGCATTCTGTGTAAAGTCTATCTTTTTGACTTTGTATGTTCCAATTAAGGTACAATTAGTACATAAACATAAATTGTTTAATTATCTTCAATTGACTATATTACTATGGATAATCATAATTTTAATAACTTTATATTTGATTTAATACTGACATACCTGATATCCCTTGTATTTTATTATTTCTTTGAGTCTGTCCACAACAAAATAATGACCATCTTTGTCAAAGTAACCTATGTCTCCTGTAACATTTAATTTATTTTTCTATCAAAATATTGTAAGTGTATATTAATATGTGTACAGTGGAATAATTTGTACCCGTCAGGTCCTCTTATTATAGTATGTATTTTATTTTTGCAGTGATTTCAATGGGATATAAATGTGTATTTACAGTTTATTTTTAATATATACAGTTGACACTTTATATGATGTAAAGGTTCGAGGTAGGTAAAAGTAAATTATAGTACCTGTTCTCATCCATCCGTCATCTGTAAATGTCTCTCTAGTAGCTGCAGGATTGTTCAGGTAGCCCTTCATTATCTGTGGTCCTCGAACCATTATCTCCCCTTGCTGATCTACACCAAGGTCACGTCTCGACTCTATATCCATTATCTTTAAGTTAATTCATGAAAATAAAGCACAAATAAGTAACTTCTATCAATTACGACAAAAGGAATGACTACATGTACTTGCTTTACATATGTTTGTGTTTTCGACTCATTTTCATTTAAAAAGACAGGCACAAATACATGTCAAAGCTGTATTTGTTAAAAGTTAACTATTATGCTAGGAGAGTTTCTTGAAAAGACATGAGTGTCGTACCTTACATTCCGTGTTAGGTAATGGTACACCAATAGAGCCATATTTCCAACCATCCAGAGGTGTTGTGTGTGTCGCAGGACTAGCTTCTGACATTCCATAACCTGTAGAAAATTAGTGTACGCTTACTTTTAATGGTAAAATGCTCACTTTTTTTGGATCGAACTTGTTCTCTCATCTTGTTTGAAATTGTAATGGCTTTTTTATTAGCTCACCTGTCACAAAGTGACCCAGGATGTCTTTGATTTGTTTATATGTATGTAGAAAAAGATTTTTTAAAAAACGTAGATATTAAGCATGAAACATCCAGTAAGTGTCTACCAAGTTTGTACAAATAAAAGCCATGTGGTCAAAATTGGCCCCACCCCAAGGGGTCATATGTATTTATTAAAAACTTTAAAAAATCTTTTTCTATCACCATATCGGGTTTTAATATGTATATAGTAAAAGAATTCTTCTCTTAATTTATAAGAGCTTAAGCTTCGTTTCCATAGCAACCAGTGACTTCATGGCAGCCATTGACTTTTCATAGCAAACTGTTAATTTTCATAGCAACAAGTGACTTCCATAGAAAACATTAACTTTCCGTAGCAACAAGTGAATCTAGCATTGAATTTCATGGCAAGCACCGACCTCCAAGGAAACCATTTATTATACATGGCAGACAGTGATACCTTATGGAACTGTTGTTTTCACCTAGCAATTTCAACCAGTTATGTTTTGACACATGCACTATTTCAGATATGAATATGAACTTTGTGATATCAGTTAAAGATTTATATTTCTGCCCCCACAAAGTGGGGAGCATATAGCGTTGCACTTGTCCGTACGTCTGCCCGTCCGTACGTCTGTCCGTACGTCCCGAAATCTTGTGAACGCAACTCCTCTTAAACCGGATATGGCAGATTTTGCTTAAACTTCAAGGGATAAACAACCTTAATTTGTAGATGGTAGTAAAGGAAAGAATTTTCGCTGCGACCAAATTTAACAGAATTATGGCCCTTTGTTGATTTTTTCACTATATACTATGTAGAAATTTTGTGAACCAACTCCTCTTAAACCGGATGGCAGATTATTGCTTAAACTTCCAGGGATGAACAACCTTAATGTGTAGATGGAAGTAAAGGAAGGAATTTTTGCTGCGACCAAATTTAACAGAGTTATGGTCCTTTATTGTAATTTTTTTCACTATATACCATATATATGTTGTCAGTGGGGGCATCCGTGTCCTTTGGACACAGTTCTAGTTTATATCTGCATTTGTTTATAGTTTACAATATTACTTGTTCCTTGTCATGAAAAGTTTTGATATTTTGGTGAGCGATATTAGGGCCATTATGACCCTCTTGTTGTAAACATTTCAATCGCATCAGTGAAGTTAAACATTCCTTGAAAACTTATGACATGAAACTGCTCTTTCTCTAACTGAACTTCAGTTTTTACCTTGCCTTATGCCTTTAAGATTAAGTCTAGTCACCATCTTCATTGTTAACTCAGCCCCGAGCGACGCTGCCCCAGAGTACGGCGTTGTCCAATGAGACAAATCAAATTTGTCTACCAGTGGGTCACTCGCCAGGAAATTCACAACTGGTGGAGCAATTAACGAAAATGAGACCTGAAAGATCTAGACCATGTTAATTTTATATCATAAATAATGGCTAGGTATTTACAATTATATAATACTGTTTTGTTTAAATTGCAATTAAAAAACAAAAGTGCACATGTAACATTGCCAAAGAGTTCTGTTTTTAGGGATAATTATGTAAGCTAAAACTAAATGTCTTGGTTCTGGCGAAAATGAATATAGGGACATTATACTCTGTGTTTCTGTAGTGATGAGAGAAAAGCCTCGGGTTGAAATCGAGGCAGCGTCACAACTGTCGCCCCCTGGCTTAATGGATTCAACATTCCGATCACTAGTCCTGCTATATGTACCATTGGAAGAGCGGAAAGCGAACTGTCGTCATTGTTGAACGGAAGAAACAACGGGTGGCTGCAATAACATATCGGTACAAAATGATTGTCACATCTTTATTCAAATGTTGTTTATTTCAAGAGAATTGTATATAAACAACGATCATTGAATAGTATTTTTATTTGTAAAATATTAAATAAAGTTGATCTTGGAAACTTTATGTCACAATTTCAAGTAATTACTTGTAAGTTACTGTGTAAGCAAGTCACTTCGTGGCAATTACAGCCACTGATTACATTATATGAAAGAAATTAACACACAAAACTGCTATGTACGTACAAAGATATTTAAATCAAAGTAGACGAGTGTTTATATGTTTTGCTATATTCTATTATATAGAGTTACGTACATTGTCTAAAACAAATTTAACAAAACAAATCCTAAAATGTTGGCTAGTTCTTTTTTCATTCAGAAGAGGTCATCCTATACCTAAGTGCAGCTAATTCGGCCACGATATTTCTATGCGTGAGTTGAACACCTTTAGGAAGCCCAGTGGTACCACTGCTGAATGGTATGAGAGCAACATCAGACTCGGGTTCGATCACTGGTAGGTCCACTTCTGGTCCTTCTTTCTTCAGATCTTCAAATGAAATGCAGTTAGTGCTTGAACCAAAGACAATGACATTCTGAAATATGTAAATGTATTTCTCATTTCTAATACCCAAAATTACGTCAAAAATAATTATACGACCTATCTTTAGCACTTATAAATGTAAAGATTTGGTTTTGTTAGTCTAAAATGGTGGGTCTTACGGTAGTATTTGCTTCGTTTTCTAACCTCTCAAAGAGGAAGTTCATAGTCTTTCCTTACTTCTCAAAGATGAAGTTTATAGTATTTTCTAACCAGTTCATAGTCTTACTAACGAATCTCGATTTATATAGTAACACATTTAATTCAAATTTTCAGGAATTTTACCCATAGTCTAACATATACATTGAAAAGAAATCCCGCTATGTACTACTCACTTTTATTTGATTATTACTAGATTTCTGAACTTGTAGCGCCTTTTCCGCGCAATCCTCTGTCGTAAATAGCAGATGAGAATTTGTGTCCTTAACTTGTTGCAATATTTCGCCTGAAATAAACGTTTGAAGACTATTATAAGAGTCCCTAAAATTGGAGCTGTATCCCTGGGCGCAATCTAATGAATTATAAGAAATACCCAATTGCATCATGTCCGCGCTTATGGCTTTCGTTGTAGGCCGCGTTCAGAGAACGTCGCCTTTCCTTGTTGATCTTTGTTCTAATATTTTAGTATTTGCACTATCATTGATACATAGATTTACATATTTTATTGTCATTTTCATTCCTGTATAAGCTAGATATGTGTTTGTAAGTGCACCTTTATATTATATATAGAGAGAGACATGAATACATTTTAATTTATTGTTAACACATTGATATGGTGCTTGCTCGTGTTGGTTATACAAATGTACATGTACCTGGTGTGAGTTGAGAATTTGCAATAGTTAAAGCTGCCCCTAATGATGTTACACTACAGAAAACATGCGCAAATTCTGGAACGTTAGTCCCGCACAAACACGCCACATCCCCATGTTTCAAACCCAATGAACCTAAGCTATTTGTCACGTGACGAACTTCTTCATGTAGTTGGTCGAAAGTAAAGCCCCGGTCATTGATCCCATCTATCTGGAATGTTAATACTACATACTGAGATTTTTTGTCAATATAAACGATTGCCATTATGTTTGATCTACTATATAGAGATCTGCTTCAATTTTAAATAACATGCTAAAACTTTGAATCTGAATCTGCGACCTTAGTATTTTGAATGAATATGTGTCATGTGGTGTTTACTATATAGGAATGTACAACAAGTTCGATACAGCATTTAGCGCGATTTTTTCCTTCTTTTTTCACTTACGCCTCCATTTTCACAAGTAATCAATTGCTTTTTAATATACGAGTATCGTTTCTGATGAAAAAGCATACAATTCAATTAAAAACGTAACACCAATTTTTATTTTAAATAGTTGAACAGGTTCGGCTGTTCGTCAAGCAACCGTGAACACTATTGAATATTAATCCGACCTTGATACACGAATGGATGAACATATTACAGGGATCTTACGATTTTAACATTTATGTGTATAAGATGTATATTTGAGAATCTTTTTTAAAATTTCTTTTAGTTTCTTTTATTCTGACTATATAGTGAAAGCCACAGACGGTATTGAATTATGTACATTAAAGTTTATGTTAAGATAACAATAATGTTATTAAAGTGTATATGAATGTAGACTGCACAATCTTTGGAACATTCATACAATCATGCAGGCGGCAAAAATATACTTTAAAAATATCAAAAATTAAAAATATATCACTAATTTTAGCAAAAAGAAAAAAAGTACAGATAAGATTCCTTGAGCATAAGAAATAGCGTTAATAAAATGAAAAAGAAAGAAAATGATTGCAAGAGTTACTTACAAGTGCAACTTTGTGCCCGTGGTTCCCTACACGCCGGAAAATATAGTCAGTCACAGAACTTTCCGGAATGTCAACTTTATATTTAGAGGCATGATACATTCGAGAGAGAATAGCTCTCGCAGTATATACTTTAAGCATATCTATATACTTGGACACATTACAATTATATGTCCAAATATATGAATCGTTTGTTTATAGTAATGGTCAGTATTCGATAGAGTGATAAGAAGATATTCTGTGAACTGTTGTCAATAAGACCTTATCAAACTGTCCATGAGAATTAACATACGGAACCATATATGATTAAGATGCATCATATAATCCAGATTTATTTTACACTCACTTATATAGTTTAACCGTTTTTATTGCTTATAATTGTACACACCCACTGAATTGTTTAAATGTAGGTGTAAACATATATAGTCAAATATATACGTATATAGTGCTCAGCCTCGCGTAATATGTTAAACACATATTAGATACGCATTTTAACGGTAACGTGGTCAATAAACAAATATATTACTTAAAGAACCTACTTAAATTGTGAAAAATGAAATTTTCTTTCAATATTTTACAGACTTTTCGGATGGCCATCTTAACATTTGGCTTAAATTGTGGTTTAGATAATACATGTTTTGTTTCACAAATTATCTTTTTTCGTTGCAAATAAAACGGTATTGTACAATAATGTATACGTATTGTATCTCCTTTATTCACTGTTGTCGTTTGACATTCTTTAGTTTCGTATTGTTACAAAGCCTTTTATTAATATTGTATTTGCTAATTATAATAAAGCTTTTGTAATGGTATATTTCTAGTTCTGTACATCTTGTTACAATATCATTGTTATGCGATAATATGCCTGTAAAGGCCGATGACTGGAAATAAAAATTCTATTCTATTATATATTGCTTATACGTAATGCGTCGTGGGGACTAATCTGCATGTTTATTTAAAAAAATGATTTTGAAACAAATATTACTAATTTTGACAGTCAAATAGTCGATTTTATAATTATGTCATAGGCTATCCGTGAAAAAAAGAAAAGAAATAAAAAACAACATGCGTTCATATTGATAATAATACACATATTAAAGACGTTGAAATATGATTTTTTTTTTTAAACGGCTTATATTTTTTTTTTATATATATGATCAGTATATGTGCTGGGATTGACAAATATTCATTTTATTTTGATTTTAAAGGCGTTTAAATTTGAGCTCCACACCCCAATTAAGTGTCTGTGGTATTTATCTAAAAAATTAATTCAACACCTGGTGGAGAAGAGCAAACAAACGTACTTGAACAAACGTTGAAATACCAAACCATGCGTTTATTATATGTCTTCCTGGAATCATACAGTATACAATATACATAGCCAGATATGTCGTTGGGTTGAGAAAAAATAGCGGTCGTCAACCCGATTAGATTTTACCAAACGAAACGACTTTAATTTATTATGCTTCACAAACATGGCGGCCGACGAAGTTTTGTTCGAACTGTTTCACTCTGAAATCGTCGCATTTCTTTACAGAACAACGGACAAAGAGGATCAGGTTGAATTTATGAATGGAAAATGATTGTGTTATACGTTTATAAGCTTTTCCATATTTGTAGTATATACAAAATGTAACAGATATTGATAAACATTTCAGCAGATTTCAATCTGCCCAGTCCTGGAACTGTGACATTTTCAGTCAGAACAAGTACACGCAAATATTTTTAAGGCAAAAGTTGTGGTTATTCTGTTAGTGGAATAGCTGGGTAACGGATCATGGCAGTAAGCCACATTGAATTTACCAGAGCATAGTTCAGCCACCGCATCGTTTCTTGTTAAGCTGTCAAGCTGTTTACCAGCACTAGTTGCCTACACTTTCACAATGATCTGAAACATGTCAGAGCAGCGGTACAGTGCGAATGATTGTAGAAAGGCTTTCATGATCAATCACAATGAAAAGTGACCTGCACTTTCTGGAAATAGAACCAGGGTCACTATTGAAGGCCCTACCTATTGAACTGCCTGACCAGATGGTTGTTGCGGGTCAGGCTTTTGACCTTCCTATAATATATTAAAATAGGAATGAGTCTACTATATATTGGTGCCTAATACTTCCATGGTACTTAACAAGTTAACTGTTTAACAAACATAACAAAAGTTTGAAGAATAAAGTTCTGGAAAAGACCATGAATATTGTAGGAAATACATCATAGTTTATTCCATTTAATGTTCACATTCGGCAATAAGGTACACAACATGACGGCAAACACCTATCTGCCGCCTAGTTAATTTAAGTTCTTTTACCATATTCCACAGCAATTTTGTTTTAACTGTTTCTAAAGTAAAAACAGTAGTTACATTTGTTTTTAGTATGGCTATACCCAGCCGCTTATGCATATGGGGATTTTCCCTATGAGATAATTAAGTTTATCAAATATTTTTACAGTTGTTTAACAATCACAATTTCCTAAAGGGTATGAAAACTAAACCTAAAATGGTTATATATTTCATTTTATTCTACATCTGAATAAAATGGTTAATTTCTGCCATTATATAAGGTACAAATTGATAACAATACAATACATAAGTAAAAGTAAAATTCTAGGCAGGTGGATCAAGTGTAGGAGGCACTAGAGGCTGTTTATTTATGTTATGGGTAACATGGAAATATGAAGCCCTAGACAGTAGTGTATACTCCTGGTTTAGACCCTTGGGGGTCTAATCCTTGATATACTATAGCCCCAGGAAGACACTCAACCATGTTGTTAAAGGGTTGACTTATAAGCAAGGCTGTTGAAAGCAGCCTTTAAGCTTCTTTTAGCTTAATTTGAAAGGCAGACTTTAGCTTGTGAATGGATAGTGAATTTCTGTTTAAGGTTGCTGTGTGTAAGTCAGTCTTACACACTGCAACCTTAAATAGAAATTCACTATCCATTCACAAGCTAAACATTAACTGTTAAGCTTCCATAAGAGTCAATTTCGCAAATACTGCTGAATGAAATTAATCTTTCCACTAAGAGGACATGCTAGACTAGAAGCAATGTTTTAAGCTTTCTGTCTGTAACTGATTACTAGTCCGCAAATGACACACTAGAACTAAGAAGTGTTGTTATCAAATTTTGTTTTTATTAATTTTGTTTTTATTCCTATCTATACCTTGTGTTATACATGCTTCATATCTTTTGCAGGATCAGTGCATAGCTAAACTTGAATCATTAGGATTTAGAGTCGGTCAAAGTTTAGTGGAAAGGTATGGTATTTATTTTGATAGAATTTTGAATAATTTATCCTTTTTTAAACGAAAATCACCCTAGTTTGATTGTAAATAAATCGCCCTATCATAATCAGCAAATGATTGTAGGAGAAATACCCATGTAGATATTGGTTACATTTCTTGTTATTGTATATCTGAACAATTGTTCAATTTAACATTGAAATTATCTGAAACATTTGTATTTATTAAAACTTGAAAGCAATTGTTATTACAGGTTTACAAAGGATTGTTCTAGGTTCAAAGATGATCTAGATATAATGAAGTTTATCTGCAAAGATTTCTGGAACTCTGTCTTCAAGAAACAAATTGATAATTTGAGGACAAATCACCAGGTTCAGTTTTATTTAAAAAAAAAACTTTACTAAGTCTTACATGTACATAATTCATTGATAAACTTTTATTTAGTAACTTACATTTGAAGTAAAAGGCTATGAATTTATAAATTAACTTTACTTCTGTGTACATTTGTTTACAATTTGTAACTTACTTTCCAAGTAAGATCCTAGGAAGACTTTGTATATAAACTCCTCTTTTATGTTACTTACTTTAAGTAAAAGGTCGGGATTTTTTTTAAGAAACTTGACTTAGTAAGAGGTTTTTGGTATGAGTATGAATTTAATGTGGTTGGTTATCAATATGTGCTTTAATCATTTTCATGTGAAGATACCTACCATATGTATAAAATGTATGACCTCTGATTCTCTTTTTAAATGAATAAATTATTCTGTACATTCATTTATTAAGATAGATATTTATTTCTTGTTTCAAAGACAAGTAAAAAAGGGATTAATGAGAAGTCTGATATTATTAATTCATTACCTCTACATTAATATGAATATATTGCGAATATCATTGTCAGTAAAGTAATAAGATCTGTTGTTTGTTTTATAGGGGGTATATGTTCTACAAGATAACAGATTTAGATTTCTTACACAAATTTCTAATGGTAAACAGTTTATGGATGCAGCTCCAAAGGTAAGAATATACCCACAAGAATTAAAACTTTTTAAGGTTCAAACATGAATCCTTTAGAGCTATGCTAAATAACTTAATAGTAACTTAAAGTAAGTCTTTTTGAGCAAGGTTCTTTTTAAATCCTATGTATTTTGGTGGCCACAGATTCTACCCATGTTACCATGAATCAAGATAATTAAAGATATTTAAACTGTTAAGGGTTAAAACTCTGTTCAATTTTTCATCAATTTTGATTATGTTATCCATCTAGTCAAATAAGGAACACCCAGTTAGTTTACTTATTTGTAAAGTTTGAAAGTTTACATAAACATTTAGTTTGTATTATTTGTAAAACTGATAAATATGTGAGAAAAATAGTAGTTATATATCTATATACTTGTATGTTTATTTGTATTTCAGTATTTAGCAATGGCTTGTGGGATTATAAAGGTTCTCTTGCTAAATTGGTGTAAATTTGTAGTAAAAGCTGAAGTTGTGCAATGCCCGCTTGTAAGTAATCGTTTATAACTTAAGTTTTTTTTTTACTTTATGTTGAACTAAAATTGATATAATAACTGCCTTCGAAGCCCTTGGAAATCAAACCAAAAATTAAATTAACCTTCTTATAACTGGGAACCAAGTATGGTATTTTCTGTTTATTAGGCAAATGTGTATCTTTAAAACATTTACAGGTAAAATAAATCTTCAGATCTTGATGTTAGCCATATTAAATTTTGGTTTAAGAATGTCTGGACTAATATAAAATGCAGAATTTAACAAATTCTTGATAAAATCATTGATGGTTTAAGTAGTAAAAGCAAAGGCTAGGGGTATCTAGTCCATTTGGATTGGATAAATACATCAGTAGTCTTGTTAAAACATTGTCATATTTTTTAACATTTATGTAAGTGACAATATAAGCAGTTATTTTTGTTTGCTTTCAGGTAAATTCCAAATTCAGATACAAAGGACTTGACAAAACTAACCAGAAAGTTTTAAGGACAAAACACTGTGATTATTTGAGTGTTAATGCACTGTTATTTTGATATCTGAGTTAACTAGGGGTATGCCTACAGATTTATACTCTATATTGTCTTAATTGATAGATGTCACACATTTGATGGAAACTAAATATGTTCATTGTCTGTAAAAACATTGAATATTCAAACAGTAGAATGGCACTGTAACTCATTTTGGGTAAAATACTCAACAATACTTGCAACTAGAAACCTTAAAATTTAGTGGGAAACATCCTATTAAATGGTATTTGGGAGATGTTTAAAAAAAAAAGAAATTTTAAATGCATTCCCCAAAGGGGCACATAAAATAATTTCAATTTTTAAATTGTTTTAAAAGAATTATAATTTTGTTTTTTTATGTCTTTTTCTAATTTAAATTATAAATCTACCCGAAAAATACTTTTTTTATTTTGGGAAAAAAACTTGTTGGAAATTTTACAAAAAAAAAGTAAAAAATTAAAAAAAATTATACAAAATTTAAAGACCATTTTTTTGTTGTTACAAGTTTGATAAAGAAGAAAAAACAGAATTGTCAATTAATTTTTGCTAGCCTATAACTTGGGTCATTTAATATTCACCCCGTCTTACTTTAAAGTACCTTGAATCTTGTATAAAATTTATATCTCTTTAGTTACAATGTGTAGGTAAGCCTCTCGTAAAATCAGATTTGGGACCAGTGTGCATTGACTCACTCAGATAATGTACTAGTAGTGAATTGATTGTGCAATATTTGTTTGTTATTTTCAATTTTTTAAATGTTTTGCGAAGATACAATTAATTAATATAATATTCAGATGAACTTGATTTATTGAAAACAAGTATGTTATTATCAGGTTATTTTTTACTGTATAACTTTTATGGGGTATGGTCAAACCAATATTAATGACCTGGATAAAATGAAACACTGACATTTAATAAACATATTATGTCAAAATGCCATTTTGCCAATTGACTCATCAGATACAATGTCATTAAAGTAGTATTGTCATTATCACAAGCCCCTTCTAGTAAATGAAAAATTGGCTGGCACATAGTTTGAATATTACTAATCCTCATTTATGTTAAGAAAAATAATCTTAAATGAAGTTAAAAATATAATATGATTTCTTTTTATTCAATCGGTGTATGATTGTATACATGTAGATAAAAATACGCCACTGTGCTAATATTATGTTTAGTCTTTAAATTAGATTTATGTAGAACATGTTAAAAGAAACATGATATTTAATAAGTAATATGTAATATTCTCTAACAATTGTAAATAAACTTGTACTTGAAAGTTTGTCCTATTTTGAGTTTTGTGTCACAGTAACGCTGATACATTTAAACTGAAACCTTTACTTCCTGTAACCAAAGTAATGAGCCTGTGCTACCAATATAGAATCTGGACAGTTTGCATGTCCAGTGGTGTTGGTTGTTTTTACTGGATCACAGCAGTAAGCCATATTGAATGTAAGCCATATTGAATTTACCAGAGCACAGTTCAGCCACCGCATGGTTCCTGGGCAGGCTGTGAAGCAGTTTAACCAGTACTAGTTGCCTTCACTTTCGCAAGGAACTGAAACTTCTGTACATACCAGCAAACCATAGCAGAATTAGTGTGAATGACTGTAGAAAGGATTTCATGATCAGTCGCAATGAAAATTATCTGCCCCGTCCGGGAATCGAACCCGGGTCGCCTGATTCAGTCCAACACTACCTATTTAGCTAAACGGACTGCATGTCCATGTAATGTAACCAGTCTCTAAATTGTCAGCTGCTCAATTTTTATATCCCTTAACCTTGGAATGGACTGTTCCAAAGCAGAGCAAATATATTACTAAAATTCGGCAAGTTACTGGTAAAGAAATGGATACCTCTTGTTGCATTCCTTCAGGCATGCAATACTTTGTTAATTATTTGATCAGATATGTTCAAAACATTGTGTTTATATCAAGATAAATAAAACACCCAAATTACTAACTTCCAACTGAGAATATAACGGTACTTGGAGGTTGTTTGTAACCTTTTACCAATCCTATCTTAGTGTTGCAAGGTATAGATATAATACGGAATTATTTATCTGTAGCTGAAATACTAATAGTAAGTAAGTTACATATCATATAATATATAGAGGATATTTGTTTAGTTCAGTGTAAGATCGGAATTTATTACATGCTTTTCGGTGGTTTATAGAAATATATCAGTGATATAAAACTGGTAATTTCACTGTTTGAAACAGTGAAATTACCACTTTGATAATTTCACTGTTTTGAATTTAAGCCCCTTACGTTGTTTCAGTGAAATACCAGCGTGCACAGTACTGGGTACCAACTTAATGACGTGACGTCGTAAATTACGTCACGTTGTATTATTATTTGGCGCGCTTTTCATTCAGTATTAGGTTTCATGTCTTTTTAAAACGTTTCTTTGCATGTAATAAAAAGAAAATTTGTTTAGTTTAGTGTAAGATCGAAATATATTTCACCTGGTGAACACCAAAAGTTCATATTTCACTCGTGGCTGCGCCACTCGTGAAATATACCTTTTGGTGCTCACTCGGTGAAATATATTTCGATCTTACACTGAACTAAACAAATATCCTCTATATATTTCACCGAGTGAGCACCAAAAGGTATATTTCACGAGTGGCGCAGTCACGAGTGAAATTTGATTTTTTGGTGTTCACAAGGTGAAATATATTTCGATCTTGCAATAAACTAAACAAATTTTCTTTTTATTATATGCAAAGAAACGTTTTAAAAAGACATTAAACCTAATACTATATGAAAAGCGCGCCAAATAATAATACAACGTGGCGTCATTTACGACGTCACGTCATTAAGTTGGTACCCAGTAGTGTGCACGCTGGTATTTCACTGAAACAAGGTAAGGGGCTTAAATTCAAAACATTGAAATTATCAAAATGTTATTTCATGCTTTCCAGTGTTTTATTATAATATATCAGATGATTATATTCTGATAAACCACTAGTGAAATTTATAAAATATAATTTTCATTGTAGCCGGACTATATCAGAATGCGGATGAAAAAAAAATCATAACTAAATGGATTAACAGGCAGAAATAGATGCCGTCATGCGTTAATTTTGCTTCTTTAGGAAAAGAAAGTCGATGTCACCTTACATCACATGTTAAAAACGTAACAAAATTAGAGAAATTTAACAGAACTATATTTCAAAATTGATGATGTGACGTCATGATGTGATGACGTCACATAGGAGAATGCGCGACGTTACGCGGCAAAATCAGTAAAAAAATACTTAAAATCACTTAAAAAGCATGAAATAAAAAGAAAATTCATTTGTTTTACATGTAAAATTGAAATATATTTCATTCGTGAACACCAGCTATTATATTTTCACTCGTGGCTACGCCACTCGTGAAAATATTGCATCTGGTGTTCACTCAGTGAAATTATATTTCAATCTTACATGCAAAACAAACAAATATCCTCTCTGTAATTTCACTGTTTCAAACAGTGAAATTACCAGTTTTTATATCACTGATATATTTCTATAAACCACCGAAAAGCATGTAATAAAAAGTCTGCCAAAGGAAAATGTGCAAACACGATAATTTGAATAATTTTTATTTTATAAACAATTTTTCAGACAGTTCTGAAAGTAGAAATGCTTTGAAGGAAAACATGAGGATATAAGAATGCCCATAACATACATATGTCATGTTTGTGAAAACAAAGTATATTTTAAAAATATCATATTAAATTTAGTAGTAAATGCATCTTATTTTATGTAATGGAAGGTCGGCCATTTCACCGGCATGGTCCAGTCGATAATCCCATAAGTAATGATCAATCAGAATTGAGTTAACCAAGAGATTCTTCCCGGCGGCGTCGGCATCCAGGAGCTTTCTTGTTTCTTTGTTAATGAGTTCAGTTGCCCATATACTGCAGCCACGGATTTCCACCTCGTAACGGTCACCTTTGAAATAATATATTTGTTAAGATATGTTTTATCAAAAACTGTAAGTTGTTATTCAATGAGATATATCATAGTATCATTTATGATCGTCGTCACTGTGACGATGAATTTCCAATTTCGTATAAAACTATATTATGTGTCCAAAAGACACGGAATTCTCATTAATCCATTGAAATGTCAGTTTACGGACGTCTGGGTGACAGCGGAACGGACGGGCAATGGCTAATCAACTGCCCCACCCACCCCCAGTATTTGGAGCATACGAGTTTACTTATTTTTGTAGAGAAGCTGTAAAAGACACTACTGTTCATGAATAAGGACAGCTGGTGCAGTTTTGAAAGAATTATTACTAAAAAGGAGAAGAAAGATAAAATGATACCAGATTTTAGGAGATGAGGGGTTTTCAGATATTCTACCAGTTCATCAGAATATTGTAAAGCACCAAAGTACAACAAAGCCTGGGGTATTCTGTAATCTGCAAACATTGTTATTGTGTCAATATCATGGAATTCTCCGTAACCTTGACCTTCAAAACACGCCCAGATATCCGCTATAAGAATCTGTACTCTCTTATAGATGGCGACCTTTTGTCCCTCAAATTCTGTTTCATCTCTGAAACAAGCAAAATAATTGTATAAGTGTTACTGTACAATGTAATATGATGTAATTTTAATTAGTTATCATTGACATGTAAAAACCGAATGATAAATTTAGAAAACGTTATTCTATGTCATTTTGAAAACTTTGTCAGAATTATCATTGAGTTTCCATATACAGGCAATATTAATGATGGTGATGAAATTTAACATAATACATGTACAGGTAGTTCTATATTTATTAACAGTCAATTTATAAATTGAATAATTCATTGGCAATTCGTCAAAAGAAAATAACAGTACAAAACAAAGAAGCAAAGCAAAATCAACTGAAATTGAACCTGTAAGAGCTAAAATCCTTCACCACTTGTTTCATCATGGTTTGGGCACTTTTGCCACATCGTTGCACCAACTTTGCGACACTCCCTCCATACTTCTCCACTAGCACACGTCCAGCCTCCCTTAATACAGTAAGTCGTTCTTCAAACAATGGGATGTCGTAATCAGAATCTGATCGTAAAACGTCTGTCATCTGCTCCTTTGTTATGTTTGCAAAATACTCCGGGTTTGTAAAAGGTATACCTGTAAATATCAAATAGTTTCTTTGATACAGAAAATGTATTGTTAAAATTTTACCTTACTATCTTTTGAAAAGAAAGACCAAAATAAAAATAATTTCTTATTCAACCGTTTCAAGTATGACGAAATTTATGTCGTACTCTTATCATTATTAAAATACTGGTATTCCATTAGTGTGTTTACGTATTTAATGGAACTATTCAAAGTAATTGAATTAATTAAGCCAAACGCAATTTACATTAAATGTAAAATTTACCTTTATCTAAGGCTCTGTTTATTGCAGCGCATAGTGACCAGTACCCAGTATAGTCCTCGCCATTATATTTCACCTTAAACTTCTTGTTCACGTCCTCTGTCCAGAAAGAAAAATTCAAAGTGTCTGTAACAAAAATCCAGTTCAACGTGTTTTCATCCATGACCTTGGGGTTTAGTGTGTGCATTTTCCAGCTTTTGATATTGTATGTACCAGATCGAACACAGTCCGCCATAAACATGGCAACTTTTTGTACACCATTGTCTATTATTTTAACATCTTTACTTCTCTCTGATATATATCTCCCCGCATCACGTGGCATTAAGATATCACACATTCTGAAATATAAAGATCTGCTCATATACACGTATGTACTGTCATAAAACCATTCTTTGTACATTTGTACATCAATTTCACAAACAACGAAAATCAATCCGCATACATGTACTTATTATAATAAGCTACATAAATATCAATTCGCCTCTTCTGGTTTTCATAAAAGCCATTTAACAGTTAAATACTTAATGAACATGAATTTAAGTCTCCCTGAACGTAATTCAACTTTAAAATATTCAGAAATGCGTAGAAATAATAACAAAACAAAAAAGGAATACAAAACAAAAAAGAAATAGCCTGGACACTAACACTATCAAGCGACGACAACTTAGTAGTCTTAATTGTAATTTTATACAGCGAGTAGCGTCCCCTAGCCTAGTGTTTACCAAAATAAAACTCGAGTTTTCTACATTTACGATTCATCAATAATTACAACAACTTACAAACACACAGAATGTTACATGTATTTTTTGTTAAGCTCCCACTATGACTAATAATAACCCAAAGTTAAAATCGTTCCACTTACCTTAGATTATGTGCTAACACGTGGTTAAATGAATTTATGTCTGCATATGAAAGTAAACAATTTCTGCGCATGTGCGGATTTTAAATTGGGGACTCCTTTTTGTATCAATTGAAGACCGTCCGCCTGTTCGTTCCTTTGTATTTGCAAATGAATCCAGAGTGGTAAGCTATATATAATTAACAGACATTGTTGAGAATTAGTTTTTCATTAGATTTAATTAATTTATATTTATATGAGATGTAACGAATATAAGATCGCCCTCACTAATGTATGGAAAGAACATACTTCACAAGAATGATCATTGAATATTCCCATTGAAATCATCCACAGTCGTTTATATATTTGCATGACTGCTTATATAACTTGTTACTATGGCAACAGAGATTAAAGTTTTTGTAAGAATATGGATATATTGGTCTATCTTCATAAAATGGTTCTTGAGAGACCATTTACCAAAACCATTCGAAATAGTTGATCCCGAAATACAGATAGTGCTTTTCTTGGGTAAGCATATCTAACAGTTAAACATTTCCCTTTTTCAGGTTCGTATGTTCGAGCCCAAATGGGATCCCAACCCTGTTACCTCATATTTCACCAATACTGGCCTTAGGGTTATAAAACCTTTATCTGAGATCAGCTTAAAGTTTACCTGTTTTTCATTGATCAATGTAAATTCTGAGCTTGTTTTTGACCAATCAAATACTGGAGATCTGAGTTAATTGGAGCTTAGAAAGTTTCTTCATAACTTCGGACCTCTTTATAACCTCGGACCCTTTACGTGGTTTCGGAAAGCGAACTCGAAAATGATAAATATAATTATATATAAGTTGCAAAAAACTTGTTACATAATCGAGCTAAATTTAATAACTCAACTTTTGATGAACATTGAATTTTGCATAATAAATGTAGCAGAAAACAACCAAATAAAAATACTGCAAAACTCGCAGAGCTCATCCATAATACCGGGTATTACCGGTATAATACATGATATTTTGACCCCTATATGATACCAACAAAGTCAATTTTAGTCTTTAATTTGGAAAATGGATAATATATCTATATATATATATCTACATATATATCATATTGCTGAAATTGTGTATTTTTATTGTATATTATTTATATAGATCTAACATGTTCTATATAAGCATTATAAGCAAATACATGCACATGTATTCGTATAATCGGCACATGCTACAAATATTAGATCATATTTTAACCATCTACACCATTGTTTAAGTCTCTTTTATCCACTACAAAATTAACTGTCTTTCAAGTGTTTTACAGAGTAAAGTCAAACAAAGGAATCAAACCCCATTTGTAAAAAAATCATTTGTTATCATTTTTCAAAGAAAGCAATAATCTTCTGCCATGCTTGATCATAATATTTAGATACGTCATAGAATCGCGGACTTTGCAATTTTCCAATTAATTGGTTTTGAAAACAATTGTAGAAAAAATATCTGTCAGATATCTTTACACATAATTTCAAATCAACAATGCAAATGTATTAAATTTCCAACAAATGGCCAGAAGGGGACATGTACAATTCCCACATTTTAAGTATTATAAAATATGAAATAAATAATTAAATATTTTTGGAAAACATCTATAGGATCATCTTCCCTCCCCACCGGACAACAGTAATATCTAAAACCTGAATATATCCAACGAAAGCATGTATTACTCAAAAATCAGTTTAGTGTAAGCTTAAAATCCTGGGTTTTACGTGTTTTTGGTTTGGTTGAAACATATTTATTCAATACTTTTAAATTTTGCATGATGAACAATATGTTACACAAAAAAATTGTGATTAGACAGAAAGATATTAAAACTTCTGAGTGTCCTCTTCTTTTGGTTTGATGATCATGCATCAAAATACACAATTATTGCTCACAATTATTGCTCATAATACGCATATCTTTTCTATCAACATTTGAAGAGCCACAGGATTTAATATAATATTTTGGAAAATAAACAGAACAAAGGGAATCCTCTGTTGATAAATTATTCTGAGTCACTAACGCAGAATTTGTTGGAATTTCTGACCCTTGCCGCAAACATCTGTTTTCTTGTTTTGTTTTTAACGAGATCGTTAATCCCTTGGTGGAGACTATGAGCTCTTTTAGAACTTAACAGGAAATGTAATGACAGATGTGCATTATGGGAACGGACAATTAAATTTATCTGGTTTTCAGCCAATCGGAAAATACTACAGCGCACGCGCTATCATTTATAAAGCCAATCAGGAACGAGAATGATTGGGTCTTGACAATCAGAACATGACTCATTAGTAATGTTGTAAAGACTCAATTATTAATTAATACAAACCTCTGTGAGGAGATATTAGTAACAACGGAAACTCACTTTCAAGTGGCTCTCAAATTAACGTGCAATAAAATATTATTCAACATATGTAAATACCTAAACACATACATTTATTCCTCTAAAGAATATAATAAAATATATTTAGTGGTTTACATGTAATTATAAGGGTGAAGTTTGTGGGTTTTATATCACATTTTATTTCTTGATCATAACTTGTATGATGTTAAAACGAAATATGATAAATAAAATTACGAAATATAAAAGGAAATTAGATAAATTTGAAGACCGAGAAATGACGTGTACATTAGTGTGAACATTTCTTGTCTTGAACTATGTTTTACAGCGCTCTATAGATGAAATAAATGAAATACTTGTTTAGTTCAGTTTACCATGAAAAAACATATTACGGAAAAAAGTTAGTATGAAAGTTGAAATATTTTGAAATATTGCATATCAATTATCTTACTTATTTAATAAAATAATTGTCAGCTCATTCTAAAGTCAACTGGCCGAATGGTCGAAATAAAGACTTTGAATAGAGCGATCAAAGTGAAACATCTGTAAATGGTCAACATCAGCATAGCTCGTGCATTAATCATCTCGTGCGAGTATTGACCGCTGGTATTCAATAATTGTATTAATCAAATACCGAGTATTGAACTCTGTTATTAAATACAGAGTTTTATAACAACTAAATTATTTCCTCTTGGCTATTCTCCTTAAATTGACCATTTTCAGCGTCCATTCCTAACTCTGTCCTTATTTATTCCTTCTCCCTCAAGTGTGCAATGCATAAATAACAATTAAAATATCAAACACATCATTAATATTAATAAAATTCCTACTCATTAGTTTTAACCTTTCAACGGAATGAATCATTTTTTATTTTGAACGGTTTCTCACAGCGTGCGATATGGTTGAAAACAAAGACAGTGAGTCAACCTTTGACTCGAGTTTTCTCTTGAAGGATCTGAGTCACTGTGAGATCCCTAGCATTCCTTTGTTCACGTTTGTAATCCAAAATACTCATATTTTCATCAGTAAAGAGACCATGCTATGTTTAGTACTTTATTAGAAATTCGAGACTTTGTAGATTTAATTTACTTGAAAGTCCTCCCGCTACAACGTTTTCTGCAATTTAAATTGAAATCAAGACATTGCATCTTTTTATACAATATTAAGATGACATTAAATATAAATTTAACCCCTGCCTTAAGTAGTAATTGTAATGGTAAGTTTGTAACTTTAAAAAAAATAATGCATGAATTTTATGAAAATGTTAATTTTAAGGAAGTACTGTTAAATAACGAAATTAAAAACTTTCTGCTTTTATAATTATTATTAAAAGTTATTATAATCACCAATATAATGCATTTTATATTCATCATTTTACAAAAATAATCATTTTACAAAATAGCTTTAAACATAAAAAAATATTCCATCACATACAATAGTAATATATTATAGTTAAGAAATCTTTCACAAGTGTTTATTTATTTCTTAAACTGTTCAAATTCATCTATTAAAACAATTTTAGGAAACAAGCGTATTATTTATAAATTCATAAATTAATAATCATTTGTTCAATTAAAAAATGCATGTATGACGAAACAACTATCCGGCAACAATGCAGCAAATAAACCGACAAGTGCATGATTGTCTTAATGTAATTATGCCAATGACCTTCGTTCCTTTTAAAATGTCTTAGATGATTTCAGTCGAAAGATCGGAGCTTATCATATACTTGAGATGTGCTTCATTCAAATCATTTGAAGATCTGTTACGTTCCCACGAAATGAATTATCATTTCTTAAATGAATGAAGTTTTACACGGCGTATTTATAGATTTTATGTAGTTTTTTTAGTTCTTGTGATGCAATGTATGGAGTAGCTCAGTATTTACTCAATAAGAACACAAGATCAACATTTAAAGGTGGAATAATAGTACTCAGCATCAGACTGAAGCGCGTGCTCTGCAAAATTTTGCAGTAATTTAGAGCGTACACACGTGACCTCCTTAATGTGTTCATTTATAAATAGATGATTTGGGTGAAGATGATGAATTTATGTTTTTAAAACGATTGCTAATGTCAATAATAATAAACAATATTGTCTGATATACGCCTATACATATCCTAATGGAGAGATTCATTGGTTGGAGGGCAGTTAATAAAAGTAACTAAATTATTTTTATTTTTCACTTTAGTTACTTTTGACAGTTTATGAGTTATAAATGTTTGGATAATTGGCGGATGATTAACACAAAGTGGTTCACTAAACAATTACAGACAGAAATAAATTTTAGTAGTATCCGACCTAGTAGCTTCCCACGAAATGATCGTAAAATTGGCTGATGTAAGAACTCGAAATCTTATAGTTATCAATGATTGTATGTGCAAGACAAGACACATAATTCAATTTGCGAGAGTTTTCGCACCAGTGAGATACAAAATGTATAACCAGTCTGTCTTATTCAGATGAAGTATATTTCATTTTAGAGCAAAACTTAAATACATGCATTTTTTTTTATTTCAGTTATGTGTCTAACTTGAATACATCTGTTTTTTATTAGTTTCAGACAAAATTATTACTTCCTGTTTCCAATCTGAATAAATAAAAAAACATATATTTTTTTAGGTTTTAACCAAAATTACTTATGTATCTAACCTGAATACTTCTTTTTATAAAATTTCAGTCAATTATTTCTACTTCGTGTACCAAATTTGTGTTTTGACAGTCAAAATTACTACTTACAACCTTCGTGGTCAATTCCTACGCATCGGAACTCCAAACCGGTGTTGAATAGTCGATAAACACCGCTGAG